TCGTCATAAAATACTTGATCCAAATTGTTTGCAACATATATTCATAACAACCAATCGATTAAATCGAATTTTCCTTCACTTTGAATGGTGGACACGAGATATTAGGAATAATGGATTTACAAAAATTCAACGTTTTCAAATATCGCCTTTTTTTACTGCTCTCAATGTGAAAATCGAACATGAATTCAGAAGTGAATTTATGCGCTCTATGGAATACAATCTTTATATTAAAAATTGACTTATAATGAACAAGAGGAGTGAGAGTGTTTTCTATTGACTCTACATTATACCCACATCCACCGACTCGTGTATCGGTGGAAAGATGCTTTTTTTGGTTTGGTAAAACTTTTTTTTTACAGTGTGGGTTGTAAATGATAAAATCTGAGATGGTTAGAGTAAAATGGTGATAAATTGAGAAAAACAATGGCATGAATCTGTTTGATTACTCGATCAGAAAAGGGGTCAATGATCAGGTCAATCAAACAGAATATATCACATACAATCTAATCTTTACGCTCAGTCAGTTTTTTGGAGTAGATCATCACGTATAAACCTCAAATGATGTAAATTTAAACATTCTAAACGAATTAATTCACGAAATGAAGTCTGTTTATCCTTTTTTCCAAAAAGAAGAAAGAATAATATAACGCTATTGATAATTGTCGACTGAGAGAGAGAGATATGATGTCAGCGACACGTACGTCTTACATATAAATTTGCTAGTATAGTGGCAATTTCTCGAGAGGAAATCCTTTCTAACACACAAAGCAATGTCAGGTATTTCTTGTATTCATTTTAGTATTTGCGACGCTTAAAAGTTCGGTTTTTTCAGAGTCTTATATTTTGGAATTTCTAAGTTGAAATATTTCTTACTCTAATATCTTCTCTGACTTCACAGATCGTTACAGAACATATCTCACGTCTATGACGGTAAATGTACGAATCGATTTATTTCATTTCTAGGATCTTTAATGATGCTTATCAGTATTCATTTCTTATGTTTTCAATTGAAAATTACTCACGGTCTATTCAATTTATACAATACAAATGAAGCAGGTTTACTGGCAATGGCAAATGTATTCGATCATGATTGTTTATATGTCTATGATGATTTGAATATAGCGCCCAGTAAAAGTACTTTGATACCATATTGTATGCGTCCAGAAATCTCAGAAAAATTCATGAGTAATTCTCATCACACCGTATGTTATGGAAGAGTAATGACATTTAAAGAATTAAAATCAATGAATATAAGTATAAGTGATTTATTCAAATGGAATGCTGTGATAGAACTGATTGATTTATATGAAAAATATCTTTTTCTCCCAGATCTTGTTAATGAAAATGAAAGTTATTGTCAATGTTCTTCTTCATCTCAATTTGGGAGATTTTGTCAATATACAATTGTTGATATTAATTTCGATGTTGATGATGATGAACAGAGTTTTAGCACATTAGTACATAGTTTGACAGCACAAAGTCAAACAATCAAAAACATGGAAATGAAATATGTCATGTTATATGGGTATTTCATGTGAAACGAAGTTACTTTGTTTAGATTGGAGACAAATATGTAATGGAATTGTTGATTGTAATCGAGGAGAAGATGAACCATTTGATCTTTGTTTACAACTGGAATCCAATCAATGCGATATTCAAACAGAATTTCGATGTAAAAATGGTCTATATATTGAAAAAGACTTTTCCTATGACAGAGAACTGGATTGTCTTGATGAAAGTGATATTATAGTACAAACTCTGGTATTCATTAATCGCCTTCGAAGCCAATGTTCCCAAGAGATAAGTTTAGAATGTGAAGAAATGAATATTCAATGGAAATTTTTCTCTTGTGGTAATGGTCAATCGATTCCTTGTTCGGATCTAACATCAAAAGCAACGAGAATGGGTGTAGCATGCATAAATAAATGAGATGTGATGTTTTTAAGGCAAATTTTTTCATCATACAATGAAAATCCATATTGGAAATCAATGATATGTTTAATTGGTTTTGATTATTTGTATACAAATTTAACTTGTTCTAATCGAATCAATATTGAAGAATCTTGTCCAGATGAATTTTATTTTCCACCAACTTCGATTGTTTATTCTTTTGTTTTTTTTTTCTCTATGAAAAATTCAATCGAAGCAGTTGGTTCGATTATATCGGTCCAAATTATATTTGTTATAATGAAACAATTTGTCCAATGGAGATTTCTCTTTTACCGAAAATGATCAAAAACAATCTCACATGTTTTTATGTTAATCAAAGAGTATTTCCATGGGAAAATTTCTATGAATATTTGGTTTATCTATTTAGATCATGTTTTTTCAATTATCGATCGTCATCATCATTTGTTAATAACAAAATGTTATATCAATTGATCGTGTTAAAGATAGAAATAAAGATTTTTATTTGAATGAAGATTCAAGTCTTAATCTATGTTCATTTACTTTAGTTGATCAATTTATATGTTTAACAAATAAAAGTGATTGTATTCGACGGAAATTTATAAAAGATCAACAATATGATCGTTTAGATGGATCTGATGAATATTTGACTATTGAGAATATGGATTGTGTGACGAAAGAATGCATCTTTCATCCAGAAGGAAAACTTGAAGTTCCTCTACTTTATTATTTTGATGAACTTTGTGATAATGTTGTCAATCGTTTTCTATTTCCAGATCAAACAAATGAAACAGCTGAAACTGATTGTGAATATTGACCATATATATGTTATTCATATTATACTCGATGTAATCGAGTATGGAACTGTAAAAATGGTGAGGACGAATTGAATTGTTTGAATGTACCTTCGGTTAAAACCATACACAAATCATTTCGTTGTCAAAACGATGAACATTATTGTATTCAAATAATCAATAATAATCTAAAGAAGACTTGCATACATTTAAATAGAAGTGGTGACGGTGTGACTGATTGTATTGGTGGAACAGATGAACGTTTAACAAGTATTTGTATAGAAAAACATCCATTCGATATAAGAAAACGTTTTCATTGTATGAATAGTAGTGTTTGTATAAGAACAGATCAAATTTGTAATACAATTCTTGATTGTCCATTTGAAGATGACGAACGTGTTTGTCCATGATTATTTCAAAGTAATGCTTCGAAATTTCATTGTGAAAATTCTCCACCACGTTCTCGTGATCGATGCAGTGGGATATCACCAAACGAGCCTAGTTCAGAATGTCAATCCGAAGAAAATTTCTGGTTTTGCGATCTTAGTCTGCGAATTATTGGTCACATCGATTCATTTTCGACCGTCATACGACCATATCCAAAAATGAGGTTAATTTCATTTGAAAATATCGATTTTGACAAAGATGTGTGGTTATGTAATCAAGGTTATTCAGTTTTATTAAATAACAAATTCAATTGTCTTTGTTCTCCATCATATCATGGGAATTATTGTCCATATCAATCTGAACGTTTAACTGTTTTCTTAGAAATACGCATTGCATATTATTTTAATCCAGCAACAGTATAATGACACTTATTTAGAATATCTGGTTCTCAATTTGATATTTCGTATAAATATCTAATAATACTTTTGTGAAAATATCTAATCCATACTAAAAATAAATTAATATACACAATAATAGGTTTAAAGTGTAATATCTGAAAGCACGATTTCTACGAGAAAGAGCTGAGCGAGTCGCTAGACGAGCGTTACTTGTATATTTATTGTATGAAAGAATTATTACTCATCACAGTAGAAGAATTACTATTATAGTGTTAATCAATGATTTTATTTCAATATTTTTTAAATAGATTGCCATTTGAATTAAATTTTTCCTAGTGCTGTTTTAATTCAATATTAATCGAAACACATCATACTTTTCCAGCTTCATAGGCCTAAGAGTCATTGATGATTTCTTAACTGTAGCTAAGATGAATAGGTGATTCATAATTGGGTCTCGATCTTTCTTTTTCTTTCTCTCAGACCATATCATTTCATCGATTTTCGAAATCGATAAATGCTTGAATTCGTAAATAGATGATAGAAGCACGCATTTCCTTATTTAACTCCACTTTCGTCCTCTTATTCTAAGCAGATCAATGTCTTCTAATTATCTTTCGATCATCTTTGATTAATTTGTTCATTGTAGATACCCAGGTCAAGAAATCCGACTAGAAAAATCCCGTTGGTTGTTGCACATTTTATGAGCGATCTTTTTAGCTATGTTCTATGATGAACTTTAGAAAATCCAGGAAATCCATGTTTCAGATCCAAGAGCGTCGGAATCTAATGCGATTCCGTCACCAGGATTCCACTGGATCCGTCGAATTCCTGTAGGATCTGATGGGATCCGAGTATGGAATTGTTCGACCTGGGTATTCTATGTTATCCACATATTCGTCACTACCTCCTGGAGTCAAACGGGAATATTATTTTCGACGAAATAGTCCGCAATGTGAACAACCATCGGTATGTTTTCCTTGATATTATTTGTCCAGAATAATATACTTGATTTGGTCAGTGTAACCTCGTTTTTCCTTCGTTTACATAAAGCACATGCCGGACGTTACTCTCTTGCTTCATATATCCGTCTATCGAAGTGAAAGGATCACAGAACAGGATGGACGAAAATTATTTGATAACTTTTTCATCCTATATAAAAGGTCATCTCATGAATAGTGTACAGATATATAATCTTTTGTCTTCAACAATTTATTGTTATTTCCTCATTTGGACAAATGTGTATCATTGAAGAAGTATATGTCTCTTATTACTTTGGATTTGATGCATCCTTTTCACTGTACAATCATCAGTTTTTCTAATTGATTTTCAATTGACTATCATCAATTTGTCGTTCAATTTCTTTCTTCTAGGTCGAACGACATTCAAACAGCCAAGCGATGGGTGTGGTTGCAAACGTTAACGATAATTGGTGGCAAAGTAATCAATAAACATTAGGTTTTGATTATCCAATTTTCTTTCATCTTTGTAGAGACAGCGGACGATCTCGTAAATGTGGCAAAAGTTGCTGGCCAAATTGTAAAGTTGGTTTTGAAACAATCCATTGAACCGGATCGACTGGGCTTTGTTGTCTGGTGGGTTTTGAAATTGAGATTGGGATCTGTTGAAGATTCATATTGTGCTTTTAGTTTCGATGAAACATATTCGGCTAGAAAATTCCATGATCTTATTGATTCATTGAAAGCGTTCGGTGGGATACAAATGACATGTGACATTTATCAGGAGACCCCACGTGTAGAATGAAAGAAGAAAACATTATCGATTTTTCTGTTGTTGTTGTTATCACAGAAATCTAAAATAAAAGTTTTTGTCCTGTCAAAGTCTGCGAAATACCTGCACTTGACTGCAACGGCACATTTGTTTTGTCGTCTTCTCTTCATGTTTCTCTCAGTTACTCACGGCAATCGACTTTGTTGTTTTCGGTTCACCATTTGTTGCCCAAACTGAGAGCGTTTCATCCTATTCGCATAGATTCGATAACAAAGAACAGTGATAGTTACAGATACTCACACTTCCCAATGCCAGATATTGATGATCAGCTAAGAGAGCGATTGTCGAACATGGGTGTCGACGTGGTGTTTTATGAATCTTTGCTGGAATGACGAATGACACTTCTTTTGCACGTTGTTCAGCATCTGATTTCTCGTCAAAGTTCAGTTTTATTTGTTTAAGAAATGACGATTTTTAGAGTTGATTGCATGTGGTGTGAAATGATTGCGACACTAGATGTAGAAAAAAGGAAACGACAATGTGGAATGTATTAGCGTTTAGCCAAACATGATTGCCGAGATGCGAAAATGAAGAGACCGAATCGTTGTGTTCTGATTGAAAGATGAATTCATGTTATGTAAAAAAATACGTGTGATATTTGAGGGTAAAAATAGGGAGAGACAAGATGTTATCTTTTGTAGACATCGGGCGTTATCATTTTTAGTGAAAGTACTTCGTTCTAGGAACCTCGAGACGTAGGTGAGCTTTGTGTTTCTTGTAAAACAAACCAAATTCAGCTGGTATTCGACGAGAAGCTCAATTAAATAGAAATTTGCTAGATTGAAAAGTGAGTATGGTTCACTAATCTCGCGAAAAGAAATTCTGAAATGAATAATTCAAAAGAGAAAATCTCGATAATCCAGAGATTAGAAAACTTCAAACCACCAGAAATGATTAACTGGACGGTGAAAACCTCGAAAAGTTTCAAAATCGAAGTTGAGATGTCCGAAAAGGAAAGTCTAGAAAGCGATGCTGAAAGACCCAGGTCGAACAATCCTATACTCGGATCCGAAACATGGATTTCCTAGACTTTCTAAAGGTCATCATAGAACATAGCTAAAAAGATCGCTCATAAAATTTTCAACAACCGACGGGATTTTTCTAGCCGGATTCCAATGCAATTACGTTTCCAGGAATCCGATCGGATCCAGCATCGGATTTGTTGACCTGTGGAGTGAGTGGGCAGGAGAACATTGAGGGTCGAATACTCGGAGGCAAGGATATGGGCAATCAGAATTGAATATCAGACTGTGGTCACAAGTGATGTGTGCATGGATTTGTAACAGAAAATCGGTGAAAGCGTTTATTAAAAGAAATTACAGTTATGTAGCAACGAACGAAAGAAACCACCAGAAAAAAGAAAGTCACTTTATTCCTCATGAGTTGCCTAATTCGACTTATATTATAAAAGGACATCTGATAGACTAATCTCAGTTCGAATATAAATAGATGTATATCTATATAATTCTACAAGTTTAGGAATATATAGGGATAGATTTAATTATACCTGTGTATACCGATGGACATAGGCTGACGTATAGCTCGACTGAGAGTATTCCTGAGACTATGTATAACAAAATCTATTCCTAGGTATACATGAGGATGGGCTTAGGCAGAGCTGAACCTATCCCTATCTATTCCTAAGTATGTGTGGGAGTGTATTAGGAATTCGTCACTTATATTATAAGTCGAATTAGGCAGCTACTCAACAAAGGTAACCCTATGTTGGTAAAAGAAGGTTTTATTTATAAAAGCAACAAACAGACATTAACGAAGATTTACTGGATCTGCAAAATCAAAAACTGTAATGCAAATATTCATACTGATCTCAACCGTAATCTCATGCAATCAAATGGTAAACATAATCATCTCGTTGAACCAGAAGAAATCGAAGTAGAACTTTTTCGAGCAGCTCTTAAAGTACGTGTTATCAATGAAACAACACCGATTTCGAAGATATATGATGAAGAGATGGTTAAAGCTCATTTATCACCAGAAACTCTTGCAAATGTACCACTGGTTTCCAGTATAAGTAATATTTCGTTGTGAGAATTTTACGTACCTTTTATACTATGTTTTTTTTAAATAGATTCTGCATTGAATCGAACACGACGAAAACGTACACCAGTTCTTCCAACGTGTTGTTCATTTGATATTCCTGATTTATAACAAATTCACGTCTGCTGGAGAAAAGTTTTTATTTTGCGATGCCTTGGCTCGTCGCAAAAAAAAAGAATGATATTATTTGGTAGTCCAAAATAACTCGACGTATGATTTGATAGCTCAATTATTTTCATGGATGGTAGGTTTTTAGCAGCGCCGTCAATGTCTGATCAAGTATGATAGATGTTTTTAGTATTTTAGAAAATAATTCTTTTTAATCACAGATCTTTCTCGTTTGTATGGTCTTTTACCAGATCGAAAAAAAATCAACGTACCAACAAATTTTTAAAGAATTAACAAGTATTGCGGCATTGAAAAACAAATTATTTCAACCTGAAAGAGTTGATAGTGATTTTGAAATCGGTTTGATATCAGCTGTAGCCGCTGAAGTGAGTCATGATATTCACATTGTGACAAGCTGTATTTGTTTTCTATTTTAGTTTCCTCAAGCTATTCATCAAAGTTTTTATTTTCATTACAATCAGTGTCTTAATCGACGTATTCAAAGTTTAGGCTTAAGCACAACTTATGCTGAAGACGATGAAATCAGATCATGCCGTCGTAAATTAATGTCACTTTGTCCTTTGCCGCTTCAAGACGTTGAAAATCAATTTTACAATTTACAAGCATCGTTAGATTCACGACTAAAGCAGGAACTGCGTCAATTATTTTTGTATTTTCGAAAGCATTGGATCATTGATGTACCACTCCAAATGTGGAATTTTCATGATACTCTACATCGTACGAGCAATATTTGTGAGGACATGTCATTCCATTCTCTTTGAGCACTCGAACATCTTCTGTTTGTTTAGCTTTTCACAGCCGATTGAATAGACATATTGAACCTTCCTATTCAAACATATGGTCTTTCATCAATTGTCTTATCGGTGGAGAATGCCGGTTTCAACACTTATATAGTCAAATTAATGCTAGTACACAGCAACTGCCAAAAGCAAACGCAGCTGATACAATGCAAAAGCGAATCGAGATTTAAAATAGTCGATATAACAATCAGGATATCAATAGTGAACAATTGCTGAAGGCCTTATCATTATTGATCGGAAGGAAAACCTAAAAATCGGTCTGAAACTTGTGATTTAGGACCGCACACGTTCTTTCAGATTTTTTAAACTGTGTATCGTCTTTAATGAAAATTTTTAATACAGAATAAAATATTTATTACAAAAATAATACGTCTTTTTTAAGTTTCTATAGAAGAATATTTTTCGATATTTTATTTTTCGACTTTTTTCCTTCTCGTCGTTTTTCACTATGCATCTTTCTGTAACTCCCTCTGTTTACTTCGACATTAATTTTCAACGTTTTAACTTTCGATCTTTTTCGATCATACCAACTACAAACATCGTTTTAAACTATACTCCTTGTGGAATTAAAACCGGTTTGTTTCTACTCACCCTCAAATGTGGTTCTTTCAGAAAAAAATCACCCAATTTCTCGAATGAGTGTTGTCTGAAGCCTACCGAGAAGAAAAAGTTGGAAAGAATAGCAACCAAGTTCGTTAATGGCTTCTTACCTGCTGCGCCTGTTTCGAGCACCTTGCAGCGATTTTTGTGTTGGTGTTTTTTTTTCTTCCTTCTTTACTTTACTATGAAAAAGCTCTCTCAAAATTCAAACAATGATATAAATATTTTTCGTCTCCACAAAATTCAAGAAGAGAACGACGTCATTTGCTCTCTATATAAGAAGAAAAGCGAATTTCTTCACTTTCACAAAAAGAACCAAATACTGTGAATTTCACTTTATTCAACAGAATGGACGCACAAAAATCAAAATCAAGTTCCACGACAAGGAAGCATGGTAATCAACCGCGACAACGCATGGTTCAAAACTACCTCTTAGTTTGGATGGATGCCAACATCGATGAAAAGGGCCGAGACTGTCAGAACACTTTGACTCACTTACGAAGTGTTGTCAATGATGTCAATATATACACTCAACCAGATGCTTGTATTCAATTCCTCAACAGCATCGGCGACGAAAAGGCTTTCGTCATCACATCGGGATCCTTAGGTCAACACTTAGTTCCCGAGATTCACGGCCTTCCACAAGTGAATGCCATCTACATCTTCTGTGGCAGCAAATCCAGGCATGAAACCTGGACAAAGAGCTGGTCAAAAGTCAAAGGTGTTTACACAAATATCAAAGAAATCTCTGAAGCACTGACCACGGGTGTTAAACAACATAATCAAGATTCCATCGCCATGAGTTTTGTCACCGCAAGAGGAGAGAGTTCCAATGCCAATCTCAATCAACTGGAGCCCAGTTTTATGTACACGCAAATATTTAAGAAGATCCTCCTCGACATGAAGCATGACAAGCAAGCAATCAAAGACCTGGCCAATTATTGTCGTCAGCGTTTTCAAGACAACATCAAAGAGCAAAGGTTTATCGATGAGTTTGAATGTGAATATCGCCCGGACAAGGCCATTTGGTGGTATACACGCCAGTGTTTTACTTACAAAATGCTCAATCAAGCACTTCGCACTTTAGATGGCGAAGTCATTATTAACATGGGATTTTTCCTCTATGATTTACACAAACAAATACAACAACTACACCAAGCACAGGTCAGTAATTACAAACGAAAATCTTTCGTAGTCTACCGTGGACAGGGACTATGTAAGAAAGATTTTGACCAGTTATCAAAAACTGTAGATGGTCTCTTATCTTTCAATAACTTTTTATCCACCAGTATCAAACAAGAGAAATCTCTTAAGTTTACCTACAGTGCTCTCCCTGATCCCGACAAGGTGGGTGTTCTGTTCGTGATCACAATTGATCCGAATATTGCTACAATTCCATTCGCATCGATTGGGAAGTTTAGTTCTATGAAAGATGAAGCAGAGATCCTGTTTTCCATGCACAGCGTGTTTCGAGTTGGTACAATTCGACAAATGGGTGACAAGAATAAACTTTACCATGAGGTGCAACTTCAGTTGACTGCTGATGACGATCCACAACTCCATGTGTTAACGGATCGTATTGAAAGTGAAGTTCGAGGTAGTACAGGATGGCAACGTTTGGGTACATTATTGCTTAAACTCGGACAGTTGGAAAAAGCCGAAGAACTCTACACTGTGTTACTGGAACAAACATCTGATAACAATGACAGAGCACATTATTATCATCAACTTGGCTACTTAAAAGATGATCAGGGTGATTATAAAATGGCTATAGAATACTATGAAAAAGCACTTGAAATCGACGAAAAAACTCTTCCTTCAAATCACCCTTCGTTGGCTACTTCGTACAACAACATCGGTGGGGTGTACAAGAACATGGGAGAGTATTCGAAAGCGCTTTCATTCTATGAAAAAGCACTTGAAATCCAAGAAAAAACTCTTCCTCCGAATCACCCTGATTTGGCCACTTCGTACGGCAACGTCGTTGGGGTCTATGACAACATGGGAGAGTATTCGAAAGCACTTTCATTCTATGAAAAAGCACTTCAAATCCAAGAAAAAACTCTTCCTTTGAATCACCCTGATTTGGCCACTTCGTACAACAACATCGGTGGGGTGTACTACAACATGGGAGAGTATTCGAAAGCACTTTCATTCTTTGAAAGAGCACTTCAAATCCAAGAAAAAACCCTTCCTTCAAATCACCCTTCGTTGGCTACTTCATACAACAACATCGGCGCGGTGTACTCCAACATAGGAGAGTATTCGAAAGCACTTTCATTCTATGAAAAAGCACTTGAAATTAGAGAAAAAACTCTTCCTTCGAATCATCCTGATTTAGCTACTTCGTACAACAACATCGGTGGGGTCTATGACAACATGGGAGAGTATTTGAAAGCACTTTCATTCCATGAAAAAGCACTTCAAATTAGAGAGAAAACCCTTGCTTCGAATCACCCTCATTTGGCTACTTCGTACAACAGCATCGGTGGGGTCTATGACAACATGGGAGAGTATTCGAAGGCACTTTCATTCTATGAAAAAGCACTTCAAATCCAAGAAAAAACTCTTCCTTTGAATCACCCTGATTTGGCCACTTCGTACAACAACATCGGTGCGGTGTACTACAACATGGGAGAGTATTCGCAAGCACTTACCTATTTCGAACGCGCTCTGAACATTCTGCAACGTGCATTGCCGGCGAATCACCCTCATATAAAAACTGTAAGAGAAAGTATCGAAAATTGCAAAAGAGCAATGAAGAAAGAAAAGATTACTGTACCTTTTTAGTTTGAAATAAAAGTAACGATTTGCCCGCGCGCGCGTGCAGAGTAGAACTCTGTATAGAGACAGTAATGATGAAACATGGCGGGGACACACCTATTCAAGAAAGGCAATACACATACATACGAACATATGTATGTGTATCGGAGGACTTATGTGTGATTTGACAGGATTGCTTGTTTGCGTTGTTGAACGAGGCCTCGATTGCTGTTGATACGAATGAAAGTGAAGGAAATCGATGTATATTTATATGGACGACTATCCATTGTCTAGAATAGACTGAACACGAACAGAATATATACAAAAGAGAGAACGTCAGTCCATGTTTTCATTCGTTCTTTCTACCCGTTGAAAGAAAGCGACCGAAGAGAGAAAATGAACATCGAATCGAGAAAGGATGCATAAAGAAAGAGATTTGTCATTGTTCTCTTGCCTGAAAGAACACGTAATAGCCGCGTTCAAAGTTCGTTTGCTTAACCCTACTCGTACCGGGCAGAGTAAAAAATGACCCTATTTGGAAAAAAATATCGAAATACATTCGAAATATTTGTTTCCTGTATCCTTCCACTCCTTGATTTAAGATTATGTCTCTAGTTCCCTTTTCTGAAAGAAAGGGTTATACAGCGTTCAAACGCTGGGCCCAAAAGCTTAAAGTTTGTCTGCCGGTCATTCTGTTTGTCCGATCCAATCGCAAAATCAACATTTCTAAAATCATGAAATTGATCGATGGTTGTTAGAAAATGATTACCAGCAGGGTAGTGGAGGTCGGGGAACTTGAATCTGTGGTTCGTTTCTCGAAATGCCAATTAGGTCATTAGGTAATTAGGCAATTAAGGAATGAGAAATTTTTCGTGGTGGAATATGGGTCGACGGAAGGGTAGTCAAGATCGAGGAACTCGAACCTGAGGTTAGTGTTGCTTACTTAGTTATTAATTTTTCATTCACTAATCGCGGCTTATTAACATTCATTGTCAGAGTAGATCGAAGGGTTTCTGACGTCGCGAAATTCGAATTTGAGGGTGAATTTCGTCTTATTCGCTGAGCGTGGGCTTGTTCCTTCCTCTTTACAAAGGAGATATTTTACTTTATCTGTTCTAAAATCTTTTGTAGAAGATGGTGAGCTGAACGCTATTCACGGCCGTCATGCGTACAAAGATAGTAGCTCAAGAACTTACACGAAAAGATCTAATGCATTGTACATGACGATGTTTCTAATTGAAGAAATCCGAAAAAGTGATATGAGCTTAGTATCATCTTTGCTTTTTAGGCTACGTACATCATTTCTTTTCATGGGAATTTAGTAGAAGTAGTTCGCAAAGTGATATACCCGTCGGTGAAATTTGATCTTAGTAACTACGGACGCGTGGACTATACATACAGTATTCTGAACACATGCAGTACTATGAAAGATGTTCGTTTCGAAGCAAATCATACAATAAGACTTTCTTATCTAGTTTCTTTTGATAGTCGAAGCGACAATACAAGAAAGCCCAATCATTCACTTTGAAAGTTAATGAAAGACGAAAGGAATAACAGAGACAACATGGCAGCGGCTAGACGTGAGTGGCCGACGAATGACTAGGCGTTTAAATGCTAGATTAATCCTAAAGTGTACGCTTAGAATAACCTTGCCAGGTTTCCGATAATTTTGAAAGAGATTTGACGAATGGATATTCCTCAATGAAAATATTCGGCAGGGAATCATTTCGTTGACAGGAGAGAAAAGAATCGATTTATCGTTGGAAGACACTGGCAAATGTTCAAACTTGTTTTTCAATATTTTTTGGATTTTTTTCGTATTCTTTAGATTGTCACCATACTCCTGGGATTTTCACGGTACTCCCAGGATTTTAAAGTATTGATTCGTCCAAATATTTATCATGTTTTGTGATGATCTTCTAAAGCTCAAAAACCACAAAATGCTCGACACTGTTTTCAATGAAATATTGAAGAAAAAAGAATTCTTTATCGTCAGATGTTTAGACAATCACAGTGAGATATGAATGTAAAAAAACTGGAACAATAGAGCCGATTAGCTTAGTTATATTTTTTTTAACAGAAAAAAGCAATACAAGAATTCTAATATATTTGTTAAATTAACACCACTACATTCAAGCTTCCATTCACCTATTCACTGCTTTGCATAACTCGTTTTGATCGATCAGCTGACAATTGTGGTTTGTTATCCGTAAAAAGCCAACAGGCTGTTTGCTTATGAATATACTTTTCTTTCCCGTCAATTTCGACGCGAAAACATGAATTTGATAGCGATGGAGAGACTGTATCAAACACTCTCATTGCATTGAATTCGGATTTGCCGTTCGCTTCTACCATAGGTGTACTTCCTTCATCTTCTTTATATTCGACTTTGCTGAACTTTTTCGATACTTTCATGAGTGAGATTACTACACAATGAATAAGAAATATTCTCTTTCATAACAGCACTCTTTCGTCGCCGCTTATGATGTTTTGGAAACTTTTGTCGTTGAACTTTATGAGACATTTATTCGTATCAATATTTTCGAGATATCATTACTGAGTAATTTCTATTTGCACTGAATTATTTTTTGCTGATTCTCCTGTCGACAATGGCGAGTTGCAAATGTAGATCTATACAAAAATATTTCTATTCATATTCAGTTAGAATCACAGGATGTTTCATTTGCGATAGTAATCAATGTTATCTTTTGTTTTCAGATACACCTCTCCATATTTTTCTTTATATAAACTCAAACTAATATTTAGGAATCCATACTCTACAAGCTACTTTGAAGTCGACGGCTAATCGAAGGTAACCACTGAACTAACTGAGTACTTAGCCACTCAGATCAATGCGATTAACTGTATCCTATTAACAAATTCCTTCACAATTTTATCTCATGCTATGCGCCGATCCGAGCGACAGAAAAATATGTTGATACAACATTAAGATAAGTATGCTTTCAAACAGTACAAACACGAAAGATCGCGTCATTATTTTGCATATGTGTTCCACGACATCACTGACGTCTTGAGCTATAGCAAATCCACGTTTTTCTCTTCAAGAAAATACTCTGCACAAGTATCATAAAATATTTTGACAACTATATTTACATCTTTTAGATTACTTCAATAAATGAATTCTACAGTCGTCAGTCATTCCGAAAGTGACTCCAGATCAAGCGCAATTATCTTATTTCTCTCATTACCAGTCTTGTCCTCATGTATATACAAAATTATATTATCGAAGTTTTTCAAAAATAATGTTCAACTACCATTCACGGTTGTTGTTCTTCTCATTGGGTCCTTGCTGTTGTTTTCATGGGCTTATACATGAGCAAATACAAATACTGTATTAGCAGCAATGTTCAACCTGCCATGGCAAGTACTTGGAGAATTGCGACTCACTTCATCAATATTCTTATCTTTACTATCACTGGCATTATTCTCGCTAGGTTATTCATCGGTACTGCTACTGACATTTCTGCGAAAGATTTCGGATTCTCCGTTGTTTTGTATATTATGTTCCATGTAGGACGTCTTGTAACAGTTATAGTATTATATCCATTAATGATGTGCTCAGGCGTTCATTTATCATAGAAGGATTGTGCGATTCTAACATGGAGTGGTTTACGTGGTAGCATGTCACTTATCTTAGTATTAATCGTCAGTTTTGATACAGAAATCGAGACAATCACACGTCATCGTTTTCTATTTCATATCTCAATGATTGTCTTATTAACTTTGATTATTAATGGAACAAGTAGCAAATATTTAGTGAAGATTTTAGGCTTACACCATGGTAATTCGATCAAGTGATGAACTTAGCTAAACTCAAATTCTATTATTTTAGGTACAAAAGAAAATGAGATTGTTCTTTTACAAGCATTCGAACATGTCAGACGACAAACATCGTGAAAATTAACGAAAAGTTTGCAGATGTTGACTGGACGAACTTAACCGAATACTTAAACTATTGGAAGAATTAGATGAAGAAAATCACACAAATTATCATCAACAATTGTCAAGAACAACATATGGAATATCTTCAATATCTGCTCGACAATCATTCCATCAGAATGCTCTTTTTGATCATGATTCACAAATGAACTCGATCGTTGGAAGAAAGGAAACTTTCGTTCCACCGATAATCGATGATTATCAACATGATAAAAATATTCGTAACGAATTAATCATCCGTTTTCTTACGGTGATGGTGATTGATTATGAGAAACAATAGTATTTGGGTATAATTCGCCGAAAAACACTCAACATTTTCATCAGATCGATCGAACAAGCTATGGGCGGACGGATTATTCTTCGATCATATTCGTTTGCAATTCCCCGAACTGGGTAATTTGAACGGACGAGTCATAGATGAAATCTGTGATGAAATGAAGACGTATCAAATCGACGCCCTGTATATTCTCTTGGACTTGAAACAATCCTCTCGATTATGTTGGATTGTTCAAATGACACGACGATGTGCTCAGATGCTTCTAAAATATGAATCAATTGCGATTATTCAGTTTTATGAAACAGGTATTCTTGCAGATAATGAATATTCACACATACTGAAATTGATTGAGAACAAATTATTCAACCTCGAATATGGAAAGATCCGGGTGTTTACAAATCAAAAGAAAGAATTTGAAAAGCCAATTCATTTGCTTCGATACTTTCGAGGACTTTCATCGATCGAAATAAATCGATGGTTTCAATCCGACAGCAATCTTTTAGAAAGAAATCAGAGTCACAAATGTTTATCTAATTATTCGTGGTCTTTTTCAACATAAAAATGGTACACCAACTACTTATTATAAATGTGGAAGTATCATCGGAGCTGATGCCTTTTTTAATAACAAATCCTCATCGAATGGAACTTATTATGCAAGTTGTGGACTCGTGGAAACATTTGTGATTGACGCAGCTGTGTTGCTTAGTTTATTATCTGACGAGAAAATATCTCGTTCGATCTATAATGAAATAGCAGCACATGTGATTACAAATAACTATTGAAGTTTAGTACAACTAACTCATCCACAACTGAAAGCTTTCCTAAATGAGAAAGCGATATTTTACAAAAATCAATCGAATCTAACGATTGAACTTGAACCAAATCAACGACTACTTCTCTTATCAGGAACAATTTCTTGTTATTCAACCAATAATTCATGAACAGAATATCGACCTCCGATAACGTGCGAACTGAATTCATCGAGTATCGCTTATACATGGGCAGATGAAGATGAACTACGTTACTTAAACTCTGAAAACAATGAAAATCAAGTTCCAGGAAGAAATAGTTGTACCAATTTAGTTGAAGCGTTTTACCCATTGTACTATTTTTCGAAACAAGCCAAATATAAACTGATTTGCCTTTAATTTTTCATCCTCTCTTATATATTTCACATCGCTCTATGAAGCAATCGATTAAACGATTCTTATCATAAATGAACAATCTATCAAGTTTTTCAGTTCTCAACTAAGACCGCACCTTCACATATTGTAATAGAGATTGCTGACGAAATAGCAGGAAAAATACTGCGAACAATAACGTAAAAGAAAAGCTCGATTCGACGAAATAAACGAAGTATTTTGCTTGCAAACTTATATCAGCGTTGACGCAGACCAAATAACTGAGAGTGAGTCGCTTTCTTTCCCTTACGAAGACTTAGGTATGATACTCTTCGAGATTTTCTCCCACTTCTAAGACGTTTCCTTACTTTTCTCCATTTTTGAAAATGTTTTCAGATAGATCAAACAAAGTTTTAATCCTTGTCCCGTTCGACGCCAGAATAGATTTGTTTCTTTTTCGTAAACTTCTTCTGATCTTGAAAACGTTTAGTCATGTAGTGCAAAGTAGAATCTATTTCACCGTGCCCATCAACCTGATCACCTTTGGCAACCAGCGATTTCAACATAAGCAAACAGCGACGCTGCCGAATAGTTTTTAGATATTTGTTTTGATACTGATGATCTAGAGAATGAATTTAAGTCTGCTTATGATTTTCTGGTAAGTACCCAGGTTGACTTTTGCATAAAAATCAGCTGAAAAGTGGCAGACTATTTGGAGTTTATTGTCAAATCATATTTATTGATTCGACTTTAAGATCCAACCAGATTTAATCAACAACACAATTATGTTTTTAGGATTTCGCTAGGATCATACTTTAGTTTTCGGGATTGTGTGGCAACTACGCTGAATAATCATCAGATTACATCTTTGGATTATCACAGAGACGTCAGTCAGGGTATTATGTCGAAAAATGAAAATGATTCTATCGAAGGTTGGAACGGAAGTGAAAGATGAAACGAAGTACGGATTAGCCCTACGAAGTAAATACGTATACTATCGAATAATTTCACCATTGCCTAATATGTTCTACCTATCAGTAGTGCTATATTTAAGAACTGAATTTTTCACTTATTCCATTATAAAAAAAACTAACCTCAGATTCGTGATCCTCGACCCCAAAAACCTTTCATCAATCATTTGCTAATCACCATGGTTAAGTTTTCATTCATTTATTGAATGCTGCAATCTGATTGGATTATGCAAACAAGCAAACCTTTTGCATTTCAACGACCACTTTTATGACGCTATAACCCTTTCTTTCAGAAAAGGGAATAAGACGTTGCTCAGTGTTCCCATTAACGAGTTTAACTCGATCCGCCAGAAAATAGCGCTTGCCGTTAATCGATTTCTTATAACGCGATGGTATATTGAAATCGAGGGAAGTTGGTAGAACAGTTATGCTTTGTTTTCGAAAAAAATACTTTCGAGATTTCTTTACCAATTCGAAAAGTGTCGTTGTGTGACATTTCAGATACGAGTCGAAGTTTATGTCCGGTATCGTATTTATCTCATAAAATTTATTAGAACGTCATGGAAGTGAAAAAGAGCGTTTTGTGCCTGCTGAAGATACTCTTAGTGTAATGATTATAGCTCAATGAAAGATATTCTAACCATTCAAATGCATAATTTTCAGCAGAAGTCCAGGTTGGCAATAAGAGCTTCAGGCCTGTTTGTACGATGATACACTAGCAGACAAGAATTTGAAAAACCGCGTGCAAACGCACAGTCGGGAACCTCGGCTATGAGCTAACCACGTCAACGAATGTTATCTTTTTTGACGATGGTTGATCTCAAAATACGTTCGCAATCGCGTTTTCGTTCTCTTCACTTCCTAGAACAGTTTCATTGACTTGACGCATGAAAGTCGAGGCTGTTGCGACATGAAGTCTATAAAAGACGACATCGTTACTCACGCTTGAATTCTCGTTAAGATATCCTCTCAAGCATGTTGCATTTCTCTCTAGAAATAAAACATTCACGAGAATATAAAACTTCATCAACGCATGATCATTGCGAATGTCATTACACATTGAAAGACAACGAACACAGTGGCTTTTTTCTCTATTCTTAATGTTTGATCATTCGATATTTTGTTTATTTCGAAGAAAAAATATTCACTTGTTACATGGATTTATCTTTGTGTTGTTCTATCCAACAAGATATTGAGTTTATCTTGTAAGGTGATCATTCCTTGATTGATTTCGATAATGCTATCTTCCATCTTCTCCACTTTTCGTTCCATCGAGACCACTCGTTGTGCTGTTTCATCTGTCGTTTGGTTTGTACTACGTTGAACATTGAAAACCTCCAAAAGACTCACATAATTATCAGCTAATTTACGTTGTTGTTGTTTGATTTTTCTAACCCAATGTATTGATGTTAATAACTTTCGTTGTGCTTGTATATATTGAATAATCACATGTTTACCCTTTCGTTTCAAGTACCAAACTTTCCATCCGTACTTGACGACGTTGGCCGATTGGTTTTTGTGCGCTTTGGCTAATTCGATGCTCGCAACGAAGTTGTGAACATATTTCTCTGATCGTGTCAACTCGAGCTTTTGAGATATAACAGCGACAAGTAAAGCTGTTGAAAATACGCCAATAATCCCAGTGATCGCCGCGATACCTAAGACAGAGAAAGAAAACAGGAACCTCGATTCATATTGTGTTTCTCTATAATTAAATCAGTCAACGTGATCATATCCGCTGGGTATTGCTGCTAATTTTCTTCTCGAGTCAAGCAAACGCCACAGTGTAAACTAGTTCTTTCGTGAGAGAAAACATCATAGACAATAATTGATGCATAATTTATATTCTTCACACATATTCGATGTGAAATAGCAGAGAACAAAACAAAAAGGGAGAACGAGAATTTCATCATGTGAACAATCGACCTAATCAAACCTTCTTTTATCCCTTCTACAAAGACATAAAGTCGATTTTTCAAACTTTTACCTCGTCCACAGTATGTCGATGGCACGATATCGCCGTAGCCTAACGAAAGAAAGAAAAGAATAAGAAGTGTCGAGCCATGGATTTTGAATTACCAATCGTTGTAAATGATATGATGAATAACCATGTGGCATCTAACATTGGCATGTGTCCGGTTTTCACGTTGTAATCACATGCGCGCATTGACCAACTGGCGATGAAGAAGATGGAGAAACAGAAGGTCGTTAAGCAAAGCGCGGGTCGTTGTTGAATATACGATTTAATAACGAAAGGGAAATTGAATGAAACGCGATTGAGATAACCAAGTGATTGAGATGAGGCATCACGAACCAAATGGGAATGGAGCATGATAAATCGAGCGATTAGATACAACCGACAAAACACTAAATCGAATTGAAAACATATTCGCTTTTTTTATAAGTTTTTATCTCACTTGGTAAACTCAACATCACATCGATCGGTACAAATGCTTGTGGCTCGTCGTTTGCGTTAATTGTTGATGTCGTCATTTGTGCTGTTGTTGTTACTGGAGTAGAATTGAATGCTGTTGAAGAAGTTAGCGTGTGCTGTTGGGTGGAACGATACGGATTGATAAAATTGATATTTGTTCCGACCTTTTTCACATATTGTGAGCTCCATTCGACAAGGAAATGTCCTGGGATTGGATGGATCATACAAACGAAGGCTTCGAAGATAATTGAGAGTATCTTTGTACGTGTTAATGCAATACGCCAATCATCAATTGAATTATCCACACAATAGAGACTTAAATCAATTCGATGATAATAAAACACGAGACCAACGAGAACGATTGTTGTAAATGTAATTGTTGATTTTATAAGTAAACTAAATGTGGTATCTTTATGATCAAAACGATTGAATGTCACTTCGTTTTCAATGATCATTAAGAAAATACCTAGCAGACCGAGAAAGCACATAATATCATTGATTCGTCGTCTAGGAAAAGAAATTTTCACAATGGATTTGTTTGATGTTATTCATACCGTTCGATATGTAATTCTTTTCGTCGTGCTAAACGATACCCAACATTACCCATCAAAGTTTTCTTAACAAAACGTCGTTGTTGAGTTGGCATTCGGCGAAGTTCATAGGAATTCATTGTTGAATTGCCTTGTTTATTCCTTCGCTGAATTTCTGTCGATGGCGAATCGCGTCTAGTTGTGATGGTGATGGTTGTCGAAGGTGAATCCGTTTGATCTCGCATCTCCGTGTACCTGACGATAGGAGCAGTGGCAGATGTCAATGGGAGACGTGGATTGTCAGCAGCAGCCATGAAGTCGCTTTGATGTTTCTTCGTATATAGTTGTCAATTAAAATGTCAATGTTGCTAACATTGATCAATTTGTTTTTCCTCCTACGAATTTCTTTTTCAAGCGAATGAAAAAGAGAAAGAATAGTAATCAAACAGAAAGTAAAAGAAAAATAGGCTTGGCCACAGCTGTGAAAAAGAATGACAGTTTGGGCAAAGAAGAATGGAAAGCATCATCACATAATCAAATGATGAGCAGAGGAGAGAGGGGGAGAGGGAGAGGGAGGAAAAAATGTAATAAGTTCTGTTTTGTGTTACTATCTTGTTGGATCTATCTCAGAGGGTGACAGAGAATACTACTGTTGTTACTTTCATTAGCAAAACAATACGAAAAACAACGAGCCAAATGAATGTGTAGATCGAAACAATGAGGCGAGAAAAAGAAAAACGTTCATGTCACGTACACATATTCGACTAGTCCGGATTTTTATAAGCCTATCTGTTGCTCTACTTCTTTTTGTCCAAATCTTTCCTAGGAACACAGATCTTCTCAGAATAAAACTGCTTTTCTTGGCTCCTCAACATTCTTCTTTCTAAACACAGATCTTTTCTTCGCCGAATGAGCGGCGTTAAGAGAAGTTCTCTTCCTTTTCCTTCACTCGGTCTATCAAATTTTGTCGCAAGAATACAAATGTAACCTATCTCAAATGACGCTACCTATTCAAAGGTGTTAATGTTGTTTTCTTACGGAGATTCTTTTGAGCGCATAAATGAGATAAATTCTCGTATAACTCAGCAAGAAAATTCAAACCCAATAGAATAGTTCGAGTTACTTCTATTATTCTTTTACCTACTTTGTTTAATCGTCAATGAAAAGAAGAAAAAAGAAGACGCGCAATGAGAGAAAGAGAAAGAACGGATACTAGTACTTATTCATCATCAACGCATCATAATGAGAAATTCTAAAAAATCTTTTTCTTTTCTTTTTTTATATTGAAGTGTTAAAATATTCAAGGTATCTTTTATTTGACAATAATTATCACCATCAATGCCAACACGAGAGTATCTAATAAAAGAAAAAGTAAATTTTCTCTGAAAAACATCTCCAAAAAACGCGTTTTTTCGTCGATATGGACATGATCAAGTTACTGAAGAGAAAAACGAAGGTGCGTGATGAAATCTCGTCATTACTAATTTAGTTCGTGACCTAATTCCTCGTTTAATTTCATAAATGAACACACTCATACATTTATCAACATTCTTTTGTTTGATATAATCAAAGAGAAGATTTTCCTTCTTCTTCTTCTTCTTCTTGCATGTAAACAATTGCAACAATCATATCCCATTTACATTAGATTTCCTGAAAAAGGATCATCAACAAATTCGATATTGTACTTGAGCATGTTCGTGTGAGATCGAACATCGGAAATGAATCTTTGACAATCGACGTACAATAAGAAAATCAAACAGATTTGACGACTTTATTTCATTCTGTAACAGATGTCACACCTTGGATTGATAACTTCACTTGAAATATATATTCTTTGTTGACTGAGTGTCGTTGCTAAGCGACCGGATACTCAATAAGAATGAGATTTTCAAAAAATAACAACATTGGAAAGAAAATTAATTGAGGAAAAAAAAGAGTCTTGTCAAAGGTGAAGTTTTTCTGTTTGTCTTTCTTTGAATTTGCGGGAGTTTGTAAGAAGAACGATGTGTAAATATTCCGCCGGCAAAGGTTTTTCATCTACATATAGGGAGTGTGTAATTTGATTTTGCTTTTATGGTCACACCGAGTACTTGACAACACTTTTCAATGGCTTCAGATCATAAAACTACGCTATTTCAAACAATTCCATTGAAAATGACGCGAATTGTCCCACTTCCATCATTGATCGACAACCATGGTGAGCAAAGAACAAATCTTTTAGTTCCATGAATAAATTTCTGCCTTTTCTTTGAGAATATATTTTTTTTTAATCATAATCTAAATATTTGATAACTGTGATAATACATGAAAGAGTTTTAGTTGGATATGTTTAACGGCAAATTCTCTCTTTGCTTAAATATACGTGTGCCATGACAAATTTTCTACCGAGTTTTGCTTCTATATAGAAATGTTGGATCGGAATCCGGCTGATGATACCAATGCTGGAAATCAAAATGTGCAACGGCGACAATCGACGTTATCGTCATCAAATCCGAAAACTGATTTATTACCAATTGATTGTATTCTGGTATATGATCGAAATGATCATGAGAAAGATAACGATAGTGATGATAATCATCAAAGAAAAAAACGAAAGAATCCAGCGGATCGACGACAGAAATTCGAAGATTATCTCGCTAAACGACAAGGGTTAATAGTTGAACGTATTGTGAGTAGAAAAAGAAAATTTGTTGAGGCTTTTCTATCTTTTGGGCTTATTAGAATTCCAGATCGAAGAAAGTCGGATTTGTACGAGTCCATGCTCCATTTGAAGTTTTATTAGTCATTGCGGAAAATATGAGAATGAGATTACCAATCGAAGTAAGATCAAAAAAGGTTTGTTTTACGGTAAATTAGTTGGTTTTGATAGAAAATCGAAGAAGATGATGATGATGAAGCTTTGTTAGTTAATCAAACAATTCACTCCAAATGGCATCGGTTTCTGAAATGGGTGAAAAAGCCATTTTATCTTGATCCATCGCTTAAAAAAAACGACCCTGATTATTACACAGCGATTTATTCATCGAATGTCGAGAAATTCAAAGAATTATTTGACACACTTCGTGGATCGAAGGATTCATATTTCACACCAACAGAAAGAAGTTTATTAACACATGAACTATTAACTAGAGCACATTTTGATTATGACGTCGAAGAAAACCAACCATCTTTCATCTCTCCTTCACGTAAGTTCCAAGTAAAGTCCTCTAAATCGATCTTTGTTCGTCATTGTTGGACATAGATACAACAATACCAATGCTGGAAAATACCAAACGACCTGGTAAGTTCAATAGGATCTCTTATTTTCGTAAGCAGAGTGTCACACATGCTTTTCATTCTAGGTATTGATCGATTGATTGCAAAGAAAGTCTATGAAAGTTATTTTCCATTACACGAAGTAAATTTGCTTTTCAAATGTTGATTTCTTCACATTTTTCTTTTGAAGCCGTTGCGAAATATTGTCACGAATGTCGATGATACCGATCTGAATGATCGTGAAGTGAGTTGGGCTGAGTTCACTTTTCGATTTGTACGTGGGTGTTTGAATAGAAATTGAAAAAACATTGGGCAACGATGCGGCGGTGTTTGAAATTTCAGCCTTTATCACTAATTCGTTCGTATATGGGAGAAAAAGTTGCGTTTTATTTTGCACTTTCGGGTTTTTATAATCAAATGTTGATTCCGCCGGCGATTGTCGGATTGATCATATTTATTTACGGAGCAGCATCGGTCGTTTCGGATCAGCCAACGTAAGATTTGCTTTGAATTATAATAAAATCGTGTTTTAATTTTGATCTAGGTCGGATATTTGTGGAGATTATGGCAAAAACACAGATATGTGTCCTCGCTGTGATCAAACGTGTAAATTTTGGAAATTAAATGAAAGTTGTTTGTACTCGAAAGTAGGAAAAGTCCCTTAGGATTAGAATCAAAATTGCTCATTGTTATTTTATAGGCTTCGTATGTTTTTGACAATGCAGCAACAGTGATTTTTTCGATATTGATGTCTTTATGGGCGCGGTACGATAGAATTAAGAGAGAAAAAAGATTTTGAATTTTCTATCTGAACATAGATGGTTTATGGAGTTTTGGAAACGTCGACAAGCAGTTTTACAATATGACTGGGTAAGAACAAGATGGGTTTGTACTGAAATGAAGAGTTGAAATTCGATTCGTATCAACAGGATTCAATAAATTTCGAAGAACATTTGGAACCTATTCGACCGGAATTCGAAATCAAAGCAAAGAAGAAAGGTGAACAAAGAATCAATCCAGTAACCGGGGTAGGAACTATCACGAAAAAGTTAACTATGATGAAACACCGTTTTTTTTTTAGATCAAAGAGCCTTACATTTCAACTAAAAAGCGAATTCCATTCTATGCCATTGCGTTTGCTGTTGTTTTGTTTATGGTACGACGAAAGATATTTTCAATTGAAAAGAATTTTCATTGAATTTAGGTGGCGATTGTTTGTGTAACTGTTTTCGCGACGATTGTTTATCGTGTTCGAATGGATCGTATACTGAAAAAAGATCCGAATCTAAGTTCACGTTCGTCAATTATCATCACGGTGTCAAGTGCCGTTATGAATTTAATCTGCTCGGTAATTTTATCGCAATTTTATTATTGGATTGCAAGAAAATTAACTGATTTCGGTAAGAGAAAATGCTTGGAATGATTGTCCGAAGAGAAGATTCGTTTTGATAGAACTTCATAAATATCAATCGCAATATGATGATTCATTAACGATCAAAATTTATCTTTTTCAATTTGTAAACTTCTATTCATCGTTATTTTACATCGCGTTTTTCAAAGGAAGGTTCGTTCGTACTCGAAAGACTTTTCAGACAGATGATTCTTTCCATTCGATTTAGATTCAATGAATATCCATCGAAATACGGAGATTCTGACTCCGGTGATTTTACTGAACAAGTAAAAGATTTCTTTTCGACTAACACATTCACTGATTGATGTTTCAGTGCGACCCAGCTGGATGTTTAGTTGAACTCTCTATACAATTTATCATCAGTAAGGAAATCTCGAGAAAGTGATGGAAACAAAACAAACGTTTTTATAATTTAGTTATGGTTGGCAAACAAATTATTAATAATTTATTAGAGTTTTTCTATGCTATTCGTCGTACGATCGCACGGATTTTATTCGACCGCGGTGAACCTGTACCTCAGGACCAATGGGAAATCGATAATAAACTGTATGACTTTAGTTCTATTACATTAATCGATGAATACCTCGAATTAGGTAAAATGAACTTGTTGAAAAATGAAGTTTTAATATTTTCACTTCGAATAGTTATCCAATTTGGCTTTGTGACATTATTTGTCGCAGCGTTTCCGTATGTGTTTCTTTTCAAATCAAATTTTGTTTATTTCTCTTCTTGTTTTAGACTTGCACCGTTATTTGCTCTGTGCAACAACATCATCGAAATTCGCTTAGACGCTTGGAAATTCTTATCGAAGTATAAACGACCTATTCCATTCAAAGCAGCTGATATTGGTATATGGAGTGATATTATATCTGCTATATCATATCTCGCTGTTTTAACCAATGTAAAACTTCTCGATATAATCATTCGAAAGTTGTTGAAAAGATTTGCTTTTAGGCTATGGTCATTGCTTGGACATCGGAATTCATTCCGAAAATGGCATATCGGTCTCTTGAAGCAACAGGAGGAAGTCTTAATGGATATGTCGATTGGACACTTTCATATTTTCCTCTAAGTGGTTATAACGTTACAGGGATTGTCCCACCTGGCGCACCAAATAATCTGACATTCTGCCGGTATTTCACAAAGGATATTATTTGTTTAGAAAACGAATCGATCTTTTCTTTTGAATAGTTATCGTGATTTTCGCAATAACACCGGTCCAAATTATGATCAAACCGCTGTGTATTGGAATGTCACTTCTGCTCGGCTCGCTTTTATCATTGTTTTTGAACATGTGATCTTTTTTATTATTTACTTAATGCAATGGCTTGTTCCAGATGTACCAAAGTATATTCAGAACAAGATCGATCATGAACGATATATTGATCAACGTGAACGATGGTCAAGTAAATTTACCGAAGATAATTTAAAAGAAGCAATGGTGGCCTTGGAAGCGTCAACGAAAATGATGAAACTTCCACGTCGAAATTCAACAAGTTCAAATAATGAAACTAATGAAAATACAACTCGGCCACGAAGTCGAGAAAAAGTCTCGTAAGAAAACTTGTGATACCATATTTTTTTACAATATTCAATTCATTTAATGAGTGACAATACTTTTGGTCAAATAATACGTGATATATTTTGCTTATATCGTGCAAAGTTTTCTTTTCACTTTGTTTTTCACATAAATAAAATTGTTATTGTCTCATATTAACAAATCTATTGACTAAAAAATTTAACAAAGGAGAAAAACAATCAATAACTTTTGGAGCAGTTCGCATATTTACATATCACTATGATACACATGTTCCGGAGTGTAAAACGGTAACATTTTCCCAAGTACGAATCGCATTTCATCAACTAATCGACACCAATTCGATGTTAATGTTCCTGAATGTAAATCAGCATTCGCTTCAATGTAGAGATCAGCGAGAAATTCTAAAACGATCTTCCCACGTTTGTTCGTGTCCATACCCATCAATGTCATGAAAACGACGTTCTTCTCTGCTTTGATTCGGATTAATTTATAATATCCTCCGTATTTCTTGTTTACTGTTTCAAATTCGCTGAACACGCTGTCGTCTTCGGAGTTGATATAAACTGTAGAGATTTGAGCTCGACGGGCATCCGCATCGAATAAGTCGAAATATTCCTGCAAAGTAAAAGCTCGTCCCATTTCTCTATTCACTTTATCCGATCGACGGATATAAACAGCAACGTACGGACGATGAAGATCGATCGATGGCGGAACGAAATATTGAGCAACAGCGTTTTGGACATGTGCTAACGTCTTAGCATTGAATCGCATCAGATAAAACAAGAGTTGAGAACGATACCAATTGAAAGAACGTTTTTGAAATACGGATGGATAAGCTGGTTTATACCAGTGATCGATATCAGCTGCGAGACGGATTACTTGCGTGCCATCGATTTGCGTAGGAACGGAACAATTACTAATTGGAAGAAACAAACAATCAGGATTACTCCATTCACAGCTGCCGTAATGCTAAATGACACGAAAGGTTGAAATCAATCTGTTTAGTTTTCTCTTACCCAACCTCCTGGCTTTTGATAAACAGCAATTCGATCGTGACCTATAGCTGTCGCCAGTGCCCATACAATTTGATGTACAGTCGATCCAAATCCAGACCAAGCATATCTATGTATAATGGCAAAGCGTTTATTCTGACAGTTCATTGGATTTTGATGATTGAATATCCACTGCTGTGCTTGTAATGTTGATTCAACTGAAAATTCTTCTCGAGTTTTCTCATTACAATGGTTCATCGTCTCGTTTATACCAGTACCACGATGAGCATGATAAATCACGTCCTTGCATGGAACAAGATTAACAATTCGATAATGATCTTTATCTGCGAGACGCATTGACCAAAGATGAGTCGAATTGTACGCGACCGGAAATGACTTTACACTGTCCTCTTTCATTGATTGTAATTTTAGATCTAACTGGGCTGCTATGGATGGTTGAAAAATACGAGCGGTTTCTTTCCTTCGATATAAATTCGAACCAAATAGAACACCAAGAATAAATAGAAAAACCGCACTCGTCAACAGAATAGTCAATCGAACGAGTTTCGAAACCATCGTTCAAACAAATTATACGTAATTCGCAATTAAATTTGACGATCTAAGCGAAATCGAAGTAGACAGATAAATATAAAATGACATTCTCTTTCAAATTCATGTTCGTTCGAATTACAATTCTGACGTAACTTTCAAACAGAAAGAACTCGTTTTCTCTTACTTTTCGTCATGGTAACTTGGTGATTATGAACAGAAGTGGCAACGAATTTTTTTTAACCCTTTCCGGCCGGCTCGCAGAACACAACAAGAACGAAATGTTAATACTGCATATTCTGCATCTTTTATATATGGATGCTACCATATTCCATCCGCAAGTTCAAAGAACTAACACAGAGCTGTTTGTCAACATGTTGCCATTTGGCAACATCCAGCTGTAAAGGCACAAAAAATTAAAAAAGCCAGTTTTTTTTTTCATAGATGAGCAATAATTTGGTGACAGTTCTATTCTATATTGTCAAAATAAAGCATACTTAGTTCGTCTATCTATCTTATGGAGCGCTATGATGGAGTAGATCTAAATAATGTCGGAAAACTGATCAAAATGTCATAAATTTCAACAATTCCACTATAAATACTCATTTGTTGATTAATTTTTCACACGATTTCTAATGTTGTATGATAGCCTGCGTAAAGATACTCTGATGTGTTGTGAATAATGTTAGAATCTCCCTGAATAGATAATGATTTATAGTGGAATTGTTGAAATTTATGACATTTTGATCAGTTTTTTGACATTATTGAGATCTACTCCATCATAGCGCTCCATAAGATAGATAGACGAACTAAGTATGCTTTATTTTGACAATATAGAATAGAACTGTCACCAAATTATTGCCCATCTATGAAAAAAAAAAATAACTGGGTTTTTTAATTTTTTTGTGCCTTTACGGCCGGATGTTGCCAAATGGCAACATACTCAAATTTTGGTATTCGAGAATCCTAATTAATCCATGTTACATTCTTAACAGATAATAGGGTTAGAAACGAAAATTAAGGGCTAGTCACTTCTCATATAGAATGCTTGAATAAGCGATAAGAAGATCTTTTCCATTCGGGAGCTCTTTTGAGCATTTCGGGAGAATTGATCTCATTCGCCAGCAGAAGATTACCCCTCTCTAACAAACACATATATTTGTGCTAAAATATGTGTAGTTATTTTATCAAATGGCATGAAAAACTATATCTCATCGTTTTAAGAAAAAACTCATATCAACATCAGTAAAATGTTGCCAAATGGCAACATCCGGCCGTAAATGGTTAAAGCTGCAAAACACAAGTGTTAGAAAAATGTCTTCTTGCTTAATGAAGAGAAAAAAGTAATATTTAAGAGCGCTATGCGAGAAAAAGATGTAATTCAATGAAAAAAATGCTTTCATTTCTGTCGGCTCGGTCAGAAAAGAAAATTAAACATTCCTGCTGGTTTTTTGCTTCTTCTGTTATATTTGTTTTACCTTATGGCAATCAGAACATAAGAGAAAGAAACGTGTAGAGAGATGTTGGATGAGTTGAAGTACTCCTGACGTTTGAATTGACGGTCGACGCATGCACATTGTTTGAAAAGCGGCGAAGAGATTCTTCCCTTTTTATTCGAGAAAATTATTTTTGTGTTTGTGACAAACAAAATGTCTATACAATGTCGAAATGCGTGTAAATCGCAAAGAAAAAAGTTTGCCGAAATCAACATCCGGGTAATGTTCCGTGAAAACTTTCGTCGACCGGTTGAACTAGTTTGTGTCGGACAAGAAATGAAGCAATACATTCAGCGACTTGCTCGGGAGCATCTTCATGAACGGCATGGCCACTTTTTGGAACGACATGCATTTGAAATTTACCTTGCATTTGACCGACGGTTAGATCACGGTCAAGACGATCAACACCGGCTAGAAGAAGCAATTTCGGACACTCACAAGATAAGAATAATTTGGATAAACCTGTTCAGATGAAAATGCTACAGTTGGAAAGAAAAAAGTGTTTGTACAAACCGGTAAACCATCCTTGCCAAAATCGTTCGGTTTTGGAGAGATCAATTCTCCATGTATATTTTTTCGGGTCACTTGAAGTGCTTATTGCTGAAGCGGAAGATGTCGTTTGTGTCGTTTCTGGCTCATTTCCTTCCGAATCTTCATCTTCTTCTTGAACAGTATCACATGAATGAGAAACAACAGGTAATGCTGAACTTGAGGGTGAAGTTGTCTCTACTGAATCGATCGGTTGAATTTGTCCAATAATAGAAACACGAGCTGAGTCAAGATTTCGCACTTGACCACTCCGAACCATATATTCAATAGCTTGTTGAGGAGTTGAGAATTGCTTCGGTCTTGAGCTAAGAAAGCATTGCATCGAACTCAACGACTCCATTGCACTTCCTTCAACAACATCGATAACACAAAGTGCATCAATCATTGTTGGACATTCTTTTGCTACATGAACAGCCAGTGCACCACCTACGAAAACAATTGAAAATCAAGTCTATGTCACTGCTTGTCTCCCTCTCTTTCTCACCCATTGAATGTCCGATGAGAAAGATCGGTGGTTTATTTTCTTCTTTGTACAAGTGATGTAAAATCTGAGAAATATCTTTCGTAAGAACTTCAATACTTAAATCATTTTCATCTGTGGTTTTCGTTTCTCCATGTCCGCGAATATCAACTGCAACACATTGACATTGGACGAGATCTGTAACTGCTTTAGAAAGAACTGCCCAACTCAAGCCAGAAAAGCCACCGCCATGTAAAAAGAATAGCACAGGTGCCGAAGGATCAGTTGTATTCCGTGAATATACGCAAAAAGTGCTGTCATCGATTTGGATCTGATGTTTATCATCGAAATAAGTGTTCCAGTTCATCGGAGTGTAGTTGCGAGTTGATGATGGAGACTTTTTTGTTGCATCTGATGATGCTTTTCTCGGCCCAATCGGCGGAAGAGTTTTCGAAAGGATTTGTTTACGTAAGTTTGACATCTGGAAGAAGAAATAAGAACTTTGCAAGCATTTCTTTTCTGTTTTTTGCTTCTTGTTGTTTTATTAATTCTTCTTCTTCTTATTCACTGTGTTTAACACGTTTTATCGAAAAGAACAGAAATAATGATCAGTGAGAAACATGTCACGATTGTTTAACAAACGTCGACTGTAAATGAATAGATCAGATGAAATATAGAAGAAAAAAATCAACAGGAATAGACACGAAATAAAGATAAAAAAAAGTAATGAAAAGAAAATGTTTGGTCAATCAAGAAGACAAGAAAAAACATAACAATGACTTTTAAAAATCGATATTTATTTACTGTTCTTCTCGATAACCTTGTTGTTCTAATTCGGCAGCAATTATTCTTGCATGAAGTGTTTGTTGGTCTGCAGTTAATGGTTCTTGATTCTCGGACGTAGGTACAACATCCGTAGGTAATCGAGTATAGAGAAGTTCAACATCAGTTGGTTTCAATTGTTTATGTAATTGAGCAATATCACCATTGGCAACAAGGTCAATCGGTTCGGTTGTATAAGCATCTTCAACGATATATTCGTTTGCAGCTGCTAAACGTGCGTATAGTTCGTCTTTATCACTCATATTTGAGTAATCTGGTTGAGTTGCGGCAAAACCGTTGACTTGACTTGTGCGAGTGACTGTGGTTTCTTGTTGGGCAATGAAAACGCTTTGACGGGTTGCGATCGATGGATCGGTTTTGAGATTTTGACGAGCTGTCATTAATGGTTCGGATTTGATACTTTGTCTGAGGAATTAAGGAGAAGTTTTATGCGGAGAAGGCTTAGTGGAAAGAACTTACCGGTTGGTATAGGATTGTTGGCTGAATTGTGCTTGTTGTTTAGTTTTTTTCAATTCAGCTAATGTTCGATCGTCGAGTTGAATGCGTCCGATAAAATAATCCAAGAAAACACCGACGAAAATGAAGAAGCGTTGGACAAATACAGTTACAAATGGTTTTTGTGGCATTTTACGAAGAACAATATCATTGATTTGTTTGAGTTTAAGTAAAAAGAAAACTACCAACATTCTGAACCATAATAATGATGAGCGAACTGTCTGAAAGACTTGATTATACAATGAACCAATTGGTGAGAACACTCGTCGAACAACTCCTTGGGAAGTTTTCGTATCGCGTCCTTGAACTAATGATAAAACCGAATCTGCTACGTTCGATGCCTTATTCACTGTCGCTGATGCAACGTTTGAAACCTAAAAACGACTCTGTACAACATTTCTTCATGGAAAATTCTTCTTCGTACAGTCTCTTTGCCATGTTGAATTGTCGATGCAGTTGAATCTTTAAATGAGTTGACCACTTCTTTTGTTGGTGTATTAATAGCGGGATATTTCGATTCAATCTGGCGAATTTTCTTCACAGCAAAATCATCAATGACACGAACTAGAATATTCGTTGGATGTTTCTTATGAAATTATAAATAGTTTCCCTTTACCTGGCCCACTTAATGGTTTAACAAGAGGATTCGCAACAGTAAGAGCAATTTGTAATGACTTATCAGCAACTGTTTCGGCTAAATTGCATGGAAACCGAATAAAAACACTTGTTTCCTTAGCTTTAGCATACGCATCTTGAAGTTTACTAGTCGATGAGCGCACAACTGAAACGCAAAGATTCCAAATGCGGACATTTTCCTTCTCCATCGGACTTTACCTGGGATATCATGAAGACACGTGAGTGTTTGAAAGCCGAGCATTTTTCAACTGAATAAGAAAGATTAACGGTCTGAAAGTATTGTAATTCTATACAAAGTACGATATGAAGAAAAATCCCTTTGCGTGTTCTTCTATTTATATCTCGAGAGAAACGGTGTGCGCGTGTAGGTTAAAGAGCAAATTCCAACGACACGGCGAAGAATAAAGATAAGTAGATAAAAAGTGGACCATAGTCAATAGGAAAAAGCTTTTTTTAAGTCGAAAGTCTTTTTTGATTCATCGAGTGAAAAGACAAATTTAGTTAAGCGAAAAAAAAGTCATTTAATCAAAAATTCTTCTGGAGAAAATGTAAAAAAAAGAAACATCTAGAAATAGATGACGCATTCATATAAGAGACTACTGCGTACGTTTTTCGACTATATATGTGTTAACTAAATAAAGATAGAGGGAGAGAGAGAGAAAATGATCCCTCGATCGAATGAATAGATGATATCGAATTCGATTTCTCACGTGGGAAAGAAACGAAGAAAAAAAGGTTTTCTTCGAACATATTTATTATTGAAAACTAAATGCCAGAGGAGAAAATATTGAACATTAAAACAATTTTAGAAATAATTGAGGATTGCATCGAAAGATGAGATTTGTGAAGGATTGTCAGCGGGATAAGATCAGGAAAGCATCTATTTTGATTGCTCAGATGTATACGATGAGAGTAATTGGATAATACTATCGAAACCTCGTTGTTTAGCGATTTGAATGGGTGTTAAACCACGATTATCAGACCATGAGACATCGACTTTGCCATTCTCGAGTAAATAACGAAGACAATCAATTGCATTATGATTGACTGCCTAAATTCAAATCGAAAATGAAATGTCTGTCGATAGAAATAGGTAGTTTTACGATTAGAATCGGTGTTCGACCATCATAATCCGCCTGATCGAGATCAGCACCTGCTTTGTACCATGCTTTTAATCGATTCAATTGGTTATTTTTGACACAATTACATAAGTACATTCCAATTTCACTCGGTTTTAGTGTCGCACTCAATTTCGCTCCATGTGATACCAATAATTCGATCATCGCTTCATTTTCTCGCAAAATAGCATAGAAAAGCGGGCTTATACCGACGTGATCAACTTCATTAGCGATCGGATGATCATTTGTAGCCGCAACATGAAGGAATAATTCAGCACATTGAATCGCATTGTGTTTCGCACAAACGTGAAGCGGCATTGAACCACTAGGAAAGAATATATTGAAATCAACACCATTTTTAGATTGTTGAAGTTTCTGAAGAGTCTTGATGTCATCCGTTTGTGCACATGACGAAACAATCCAAGGGACCAATGATCGACGAAATCGTATTGATTCCTTTGAAAATAAACGAGACCTTCTGCTTTTTAACAAAACAATCGATTCTTACCTCATCTGTTCGAACGATTGTTTCATCTAATAACCAATTGATGCTTAACGTTGGGACGTCTGTCTGATACGAACTAGTCGACATTTCTCCTCGTAAATTCTGAGTCATTTTCTCTTTCATCAATTTCATATCCGATGAATATTTACCGAGAATATAAGCTAACTGGAATGAACATCGCTACTCATTTCTAAATAGTAATTTAGCGTACTTTTACCTTCATTAGTGCGGCTTCTACAGTCATATCTGAACCTGAGCAAACACCAACCTTTTGTAATGCTGTCGCACTTTCGTATACATAGTAAACACTGCCTTTTGCACATTGCGTACAATTAACGATGAGAACATCACGTTCCGTTGCTTTTCGTAATTCTTCGACTAGATCAGCTCGATTGGTTGGAATATTTCCCGCTCCGTACGTTTGTAAGACAACTCCTTGGATTGGTGGTTCAAGAAACTGTCGCATAGTTAAATAAGTTATGCCGGGAAAAAGACGTAGAAGTGAAACATTCCGATTCAAATTTGTATGAACATTAAATGGACCGTCTGCAGAGCGATCGAATACTAAATCCCATTTAACTACAGAAAAGAAAATGCGCTAGAGGAGAGTCGATACGTGTTTGGGAGATTTACCTTGAACTTTGGTGCGAAATTCAGCCAAAGTCGGGAAATTATGTGATTCGAATGCATTTAGATCCTCGCAATCACTTTTTGTTACACGATTACCACGATACAGTCGATTTCGAAAGTAAACTGTTACCTGAAAATACCAACTTGTACACCACTTTTCCTCTTATTCAAAACAAACTTCAGGGATACGATATTGTCCAGCTAACAATAAGCTTCCAATAAGATTATCTCGACCATCACTCCTTGTTTCGAAGATTGGGATCTAAATCCAAACCATACATTTCCTTCAATTCCATTTCGTTCACTTAAATTACTTGTGATCCCGTCAACACCACCGGTTTGGAAAGATTTTCCAACATAAACGAAAGAGCAGCGGCTGTGTAACTCATCGTATCCGTCTAATTGAAAAACAGTCATTATAATCTCCTTTCTTTCAACACGATACATACACCATGAAGAACTACAAACAAAGTTTAAGATAAGTTCTTCTCGTTGCAAGACTGTCAGATTAACTTACTGACAAATCCATCAAATAGATCGTAGACCTCCTAAAGGGAATAGACAAACTTCGATGAAATTGATCCTTTTCTCCATTTCGAATAATTACTTTTATATCCAATGCAATATGAATATAATTGTCAAATGTCATGTTCGTTGAGTCGAGTAAAGGAACATATTCTTTAACATAATAAGCGATACATTCTTCATTTGCCAATCTTAAATAAATAAATAATTAAATAATTTCGCCTTTGATGAAAAGAGATCCTTTACGGTAAATAAAGAAACGATTTTCCCACGTCAATTCCACTCATTGTCTCCGCAAATTGTACATCATGCATGATATTCATTTCCCGCAGTGCATCGGGTAAGTAATTACTAACAGGTTCATATGCTTTTCGAACAACTTTCATACCGATGGTTCCACCTAAACGACAAAATGGATTATGCTTACTTCTCAAATGACTTTCCTTATTCAAACCTGTGTAGAGCACGAGCACTTTCGGTATCGTTAGTTTGGACAATGTCTTCTGAGTTTGAGCATTTAATAACGTAACATGTTTTAAGAGTACATCATCCGATGAACGTCTTTCATTTGTCGATGAAGGTGTATCGACAATCGGCTCGGCAGACATTTCTGGTTGTTTTTTTAATAAAATCAACTAGAATTGGAAATGAAAGAATATGACTTTTAAATCAAGACATTTCTACGTTGTTTTTTTGATAGAAAAAAAAGAACTGGAAGTGATCTTTATTGGTTGTTCTGAAGAAAAATGACATATGAAAAAAATAGACGTGAATACACGATGGAAAAGAGAGAAATTATTTGATCACTTTGCACGTTGATGAGTTCAACGAATGTTTAATGTCGAATCTGCTTGTAAAGATGTGTCTTATTTGTATTATTGACAATGACAATATGAAGATAAACGAATATACATACACATACACACAACAGAAAGAGTATAAAAGTAGTAAACGAGAAGAACGCATTCCATGCCTGGAGTTTCATAATTGATTAACACGTGTACACACGTAAAAGCATATGTAGAGCAGAAAAAAAAGGAGAGAGAGATAGAAAGTGAATATCTAATATATCATTCCACTTTTTTTGTTCAAGAATAAAATAAACAATGTCAACATAAATTGTCTACAAAAAAGATGATAAGTCGATTGAACATCAATGAGTAAAATAAACGCATTTGGTCAAGTCGTTGCTTAAGCCTTTTTGGCTTTGTTTGGTAGTTTCGATGTAACTCTACAATACGACATTGAAGCATTACTCAACGATGAGAAACAAAGAACTTACTTGGCCAAAAGCTGATTGATTTGATCGAGAACTTGTTTAGCAATACGATCGATTGGAACCTGAACAAATCGAATAAATAATTTTCTGAAAAGAAAAACGTTTTTATCAAAAACATACCTGATATACTTGATAAATTTTCGGTACAGTGAATCCGAATATTAAACCAATCAGAACAAATGTTAACGCGTTCATCGAGAGGCCAATGTAGAAAAAGACGAAGAGCACAAGACCAAACTAAAAGAAAAGCAATTAAAATAGAAAGACTTTCGCTTCGATCGACTTACAAGAACTGAATTTGTCAAATTTTTCCATAAGAAAAGATCGCGTGCATGTTGTAAGAGATGAGTACCATTGATACGAATCGAATGAGCAATTTCTTGAGCTCGTCGTTCAGAAATGCTTACGTCAGGTGAAAAAATTGCTCTACAACGCCAATTCTTCATATCAACACAACAAGATCATTTCTCTTACTCGAATTTATCATCTTGAATTCGGCCGACAAATGTTGCCATAACATAGTTGTACATTTTGTAAAGACCAACGATGAGAAGAAATGCCAATGACCAGAATGAAATCGCAGCCAATGATGATAAGAACATAAATGTTATGATAACGGATAACGAAACACCAAAGACAATGCCGGATTGAATTGGTTTACGCCAATAAATGAGGTCACTACCTTGGGTGGGCATCGTTTCTCTGACCTTTTTTTGTATTTGAATAAGTGAATGTCGAGTTTGATCCCCTAAGAAGAAGAAAACTTGATCGTCTGCCAACAAGAAAATCTAATCTCGTGAGTTTCCTTTCTTTTCCTTTCTATTCGTCACAATATTCCAGTGGAGAGAAAAAAAAGAAGAAAAAAAAACCCACGATGAATAGACCTAGACCGAAGTACATCCATCATCATCGTTCCATGGCCCTTTTTTTTCTTCTTGTTCTTCTTCCTATGAGCATTGGCGACCGGTGATGATGATGAAGGAATTACCAAAGGGAAACCGTCATGAATAGGCACGCGTTTATTTATATATACAGAGGATCTGTCACTTGTTTGCAAAAAAAGAACGAAGAGCAGAACAGAAATGCTAATGTATTTCTGCTATTACAGAATAAACTACAGATTGGTTAAATCAGATTTTATGTATGGAAATGAAGTCAATAGCCGACGAGCGACAAAGCTCGTAGATTAGAGAATGAAAATATATGAAAGATAATTCGAAGAAGGAGAAAAAAACGTTTTGTCAAGGTTAATTCTTGTCCATAGGAATCGATTTCCCTAAGTTAATTTTCATTTCGCAACGGGGTGAGAAAAGAAGTGAGGATGTGACTGGAAAACATGAGATGATTATCACTCGTCGGAAAAGAACTTACAATGTTGTTTTATAATCTTCTTTGTCTTTGTAATAATGTCTTCTGCTTGTTGTTGACCTCTTTTTAATTCCGTTTTGCCTTTATTAAGTGTATCAACAACCGGATTTGTGATATCCGTTTGATGAGAAGGCGTGATCGGTGGTGGAATGAAATCTGGATTTGTCGAATTAATCGCTGGTGTCTCATCTGGATCGTATCGTGGTGGAACTATTTCCTCGTGTCCAACTCCTTCCACTTGATCCGTCATTAGGTCAAAATCGGTACTTTGCGTGTCCATTGTCGAGTAAATTTCTTCGAGAATCTGAAATATTCCCAGCAAGATAAATGAATCATTGGGTTTTGATCAAAAGGAAAAAGGAAGAAATGATCTTCTGGAATAGTTACTGGTAAAACTTAATTGATACTATCGTCGTCGGGTTATGAAACGCAGAATGAGAGAAAAAATGATTTTTTTTCGAGCGACATACGAGCGTGACATCACGGCGGACGGAGTGTTCTTCGCTTCATTTTCTCTCTCTCTCTCTTTTCCTGTCTCTCTCGTTGTTCTTCTTCGTACTGGTAAAACGGCATGTCGATGTTTTCTTATTAAGTACCGAAAGTCTAAGCATAACTCGCCTTCTTCTTAATAGAAGTTACATGAAAGAAGAAGGAGTGAGAGAAAAAGACCGTAATCGACACACTTCTTCTCATAACCGATTTTATCAACTTGAACAGTTCACAATTGAAAACTATATAGAGAAATTCGTGAAATAAGCGCAACAAGGTGTTTTGACGCGTGGTTGAACGTCTTTCATTGAACGAGCAGAGAGAAAAAAAGCGAATCATTAAAGTGAAGATCTTCTCGAAGAATGTCGAATGTGATAAATGGGAGGAAAAAGACGAAGTGAAATAATATCTTAACTATATCAAGTAGGAAATGGAAAACCTCGGGCGACAAACTCGATTAATTGCATCATAGTTTCGGCACATGATCAACACTTGAGTTTTATCAAGAGGATGACTAGAAAACAAAGTTTACTCGGTTGACAGTCAAAGGTAGATTCATATCGAACAGCGGTTATTATTCGACAAAAAAATGTACTTAAAAAAACGAATTGACAACGATGGATTTTGTGTATTATTTACTAATACTTATATACAGAATGAATATGCGAATGAGTTTCCAACCAATAGGAAGTGGCGACAGTATTATTTATGTGGAATATAATTCTTCAGATGTCGCAAAAAAACTCAGTTTCTTTTAGAAGTAAGAAATGTTATTTTTATGAAGGAAAATATCTGAAAAAGCTCGGATGTTTGCTCGGAAATTTTGGACATTGCTTAGCAACTGAAATATGAAATATGTCGATGAGTGACGCAACGAGAAAAAGTGAATGGCAACTTGATTGAATACAGGAGAAGGAAAAAAAATCAATATTGATTGTCGATTTTGACACTTCAAATCTGTTATGGAGCCAGACTTGTCTTCCGAATCAGCTAATTGGGTGCTTCCATCTCAACCAGTGACTTTTACATCAGCGTTGCCGACTTATGAAGATAATTTACCACATCGAGTCAACCGAGAAGGCGTTCGAAATTACATTAAGAGTCGTGGAACGTTAAATATCGGTGATTGGGCTATTGAAGGTCGAAGACCAGCAACACCGAGAGTGACAAATGAAACAAATATTCAAGAACGAAATCCTCTCGAAGCACCAGGACCGAAAGTAATCGGACCGGATGCATTGAGAAATTATACGAAAAATCGTAGTTCGACACCGAATTTGATCTATGGGAATCTCCAACCACCTGATCCGCACCATCAATTACGCGTAAAACGAGAGGGTCGCGTTAATTACGAAAAAAATCTTTCAACACAAATGAAATCATTGTTTCATAATTATGGAAAGATGCCATTACCCGATCAACGAGTACCACATACTCAAGGCGAAGTAAAAGAGAATTTTATACTAATCTCATCGTTTGTCTTCTTATTTAGTTAGCAACGAATCTTTTCTATTCTCATCAAGAAGGCCGTGTTGGTCCGATTCTGAATAATTATGGCGGCGACGACGACGAACGTTCGCCACGACCCGTACCACATGTCAAAGGTTTCGCTGCTGAAAACAATCTTCAAAAAGGTTACGGTGATTCGCAAATTCTCGAACATAAAGCCGACTATCGACCACGAACAGCTGATCCTCATGTTAAAGGTGAACAAGCTCAATTAAACTATGACGCCGGACTCGGTCGTCATGTCGATAAACTTCTCAATGAATACGGAAAACTTCCTCAATCAGCTCGTGCTGTGCCCAAAGTGCGATACGGTGGTGTCGATGTTCTTGAAAAGAGCCAAGGTGCTGGTATGCGCAAAGCAATCTCACAATGTCCACCATCTAATCGCTATCTCGAACGTCCAGTACCAGTTTTGCCTTAAATTATTCATTCTCTATCTGTGTGTGCATTTTTTTCTCAAAAAATTTTATTAAACGATCTCAGCCAATCTCATCAATGAATAAATTAATAATTCACTTCGATATTTTTTATTTCTGTTGCAGACATGCAAGGCCAAGAACGTTTTGAACGCTACACACCACAATTTCCTTTACCGGCCGAAATTTCAAACATGTCTCGTCAAGATACGGTGTGTCAATTTTGTGGCGTTTCATATTTAATTCATAACGAAATCAAAGCATTAGAAGAAAAGTGTCGCAAACTCGAAGCAGACTTGGCGCATTATGCGGGAACAAGTTCACGCGAAGCTGCACTGGAGAAATCTTTACAAACGGAGAAAACACGAGTGACTGATTTAGAATCAACAGTTGCAATCAATACTCATAAGTCGGCGGATTTTCTTCGCGGATTTTTCAAACGATACTCTCTTTTTTGTAGAATCAATGAGATGACGAGAAAACATCAGTTAGTACAAGATCAATTACAACAGTCTGAGTGCGCTCATCAGGACACAAAGTAAAACTTTGCACTAAGTGTGATTTACATTGACTTTGGGGTTCGATAGAACATCTTTTGCACAATGTTCGTTGACTATTCGGAAACTATCAAATCCCGTCGAAACAATTCGAAAGGAACATTTCATTTTGAAAGAATTCTATTCAAAACAAATCGATAATTTCAAAACAGATTTTCTCACAACTAAAATGACTCTACAAAAAGGTAATAAAGCATTCCTATTCGATTTTTTTTCGTATCAAACGTTTCAGAAATCCAAACAACATTTGACAAATATCTCAAACAAATGAACGATTATCGAAAGGAACTCGATCAATGTCAACAACAACTCAGGTATTAACACAAACTATTCTTTTCAACCGCAAAACTCATCATACTTTAGTGAAAGTAAACAATCGTTTCGAGACCTTCAAGTCAAATATCAACAATTGCAACTCGATACTAAAGAGTCTCAAACAAAGTTTGTTTTCTTACTCTCCATCGTCGCTTCTTATCTTTCATTGGTCATTTCACATAGAATTCAAAACGATTTCGAAGCAGCCCGCGAGGAAATTCATCTTCATCAGAACGAACTTTCTCATCTTCACGACAAATTATCTCAAAACGAGCAACTCCGCCTTCAATTACACAATGAACTCGAACATCTAAAAGAACAAAGTCAACAATACCAACAACAGATCATCGATCGAGATGAATCGAAGAAAAACATCGATCGTCTCGTCAATCAATACCGACAAGAACTAACCGATGAAAAAGAACTTCGAACAAGTAAAATTTCCCCTTATCAAACACTCGATTCGCATTGTTCTTTTCATGTAGAAGCTGATTCCGAACTGGAACATCTCCGATCGAAGTTGACTCAATTAACAACTGAATATGAAGAGTTGAATTCTGCGAAGAAAGAAGTAGAAACAAATGAAATAAACAATCGACGAAAGCTAGACGAAGCCAATCGATCACGTCAAGCCGTTCTCGACCGAACACGAGATGAATACGAGAAATTACTACGGAAATACAATGATCTCGATGAAGTTTACCGAGAACTCGTCACTGTTCGAGAAAAAGAATCATGTACGAAGGATTTCTTTCTTTTCTTAAAACGAATTTTCTCTGTTTATCATTTATGTAGCAGAATCCGATACAATCCGTCGTGAACTTGAACGTTTACATAACGAAAATATCGAATTGACTAAACAGAAAGAAACAACGTACATAACTCATGATATTCAAGTGAAAAAACTTCGCGAAAGTTACGCAGTGAAGTTGCGCGAAGCTGAACAGTGGCCCGATCGTCTCCAATCAGAATTAAAACATGAACGTGAACAACAGCGCACNAGGGAGCTTTGATGAAGGGCAAACGTGCACATCAAATTGAACGAAAGAGAAAGAGAGAACATCAAAGCAGAAGAGTTGTTGTTGATAGATGGAAGAAATAAAATGAAATAAAAGAGAAGCAATCGTCTAAATTGCACTAAAGAGATGAAGTGAAGAACTTTTCTATGGATTCAGAAGAAAAGAGCCTTGCTGCTAAGCAACTTTCCGATTAGATAAAACGATGGTGACAACAGCGAAGAGAAAAATATGTTAATTGTGTACACATTTAGGTCGCAAATGAGTAACATTTGACAGATGGGGAAACATTTTTTCGAAGATCAACTATTCTATTTTGTGAACACAAGAACGAAGAGATTAATTGTTATTTACGTAAGGAAATAGAAACGTGTTACGAGTTGATACAATTGATAATAAAAAAAATATACAGAGAACGATGTGTGAGCATCATTATCTGATGTACTCCGATGATGGAAGGAATGAAACAGTAGACAATGTAACGTTATATAGAAATATATATGCGCACAATAAAGGAAAAAAAGATTGACCACTTCACTGATGATGATTGGTGAGACGAATAAACCAATAGAAATTCAAATTTTCAACCGCTTCATTGATTTATGATCAGTTAGATCGATCATAAAAGAATTCACATGAATTTGTCAAAAACAATTCACAAATTGTCTTTTTCGATACAAAATTCTTTTTCCAATAGTAAATAAAGAACTTTTGTTTATCAATATGTCGTCTATTACGACGGTAAATTTATTTTGCACTACAAGAATAGTTTTTAAAGATTACATACCCTCGATATAAGTAGCTTATTAGAAAATTTTCTGTCATTTTAATCAAATTTTCTACCTTTCCTATTTCGTAAACATTGAACTTCGAGGAACGAGAATGAAGTTTAAAGAAAACTTTCAAAAGACAACTGAGATTTACCGTCACATCGCACAACTAGTCATTTATTATCTAAACCTACAAATCCTTTAATTTCAATATCTTATTGGTTGGTAAAGTAACCCATGAGAATCCAAATAACTCGCTGCTTTCTTTGAATTTTATAAAAAATATTCATAGATAAACAAATTAGATAAAAGTCAACTCGAATTTGTTTGTGTATATTCGTTTCGTTCGATATTTACTCAGTGAGAATGAAGTTTACAGCTGATGACAATGCCGATATGACTCATTCATTCAGTGGAGTGTTTTTGTCGGTCTTTGGCATTTACTTATCTACGCATTTCTTTCGTTGAGTATGATGTGGGGGTATTTAGTAGTTTTCTCGAGATTGAAATGTGACTTTTTTTTCTAGATTTTTCTCATCTCTTTATTGAGATGGATTTTGATATCGATGCTGTTCTTGATCAATTGGAAAAGAAATGTAAATTTTCATGAAAATTTCGTCGTATTTCATCGTTGATTTCTATTCTAGTAAATCAATCAGATCTTGAAGAAAAACAAGCCATTGAAACACCTCCAGCAGTTTCTACTTCTGCTTCTGCTTCTCCTCCCTCAACATCACCACTACCGCCGATAAAATCAGTCGATGATCTATCTTTATTCGATCTTGATCCACTCAGCCACTCAGAATATCAAACAAACGAGCACGAAGGAAGCAAACTCGACAGTTTTCAACAAGATCTTCAAGATTTATACGCATCATCTATAGTTGTCGATCCACTGGTCGCACCTTCTTCTGTTCCTATTCTACCAGATGTTCCCGATCAGCAAGAAGACGTTTTTTCAACTTCGTTGCCTCTGGCTGTCGAGCAACTCGAAATCGAAGTTCGAGAAGAAATCTTACAACACACTCAGGAGCAACCTCTACCTGACGGTCACCATGAAAAAACACAAGAAGCCACGTCTTTATCAACTTCAATTGAGGAAGAACAACAATCACCATTAGCAACAACAGATACCAAAGAAATCGTTGAAAATGAATCTGATTGTATTTCACACGATGCATCTCCTACTCAAACACAATCGGTGTTACACAGTGTTGATAGTATTGTTAATGCAACGACGATGGCGGACCTTGAAGTAAGGAAATAATTGAATGTAATCAAAAGGAAACTTTGGTATTTCCCGATAGGATTATGTTGCTCCTAATCCATCTGGAATTGACGTTGAACCACTTCAAACATCATCGGAATTGCTCTTTACTCCATGTGAAGATAATGAGGAAAATACAATTGAAATACCATCGGAAGAAATGAAAACGGATGAGTTACTCCATTTACCACTTCCTTCTTCGTCAACATTAACGACGAGTACAACGCAAAGTCAAGATTTTGATCTTGTAAAGAATATTCTATCGGAAATTTTCGATAAACCCGAAGAAGAGTTATTAGATGAAGATTTAGTTGATGAAAAGGAAACGAATGTCGAACAGCAAGAACCTCTTCCAATCGCGCCTACAAATAATAACGAAGATTTCCGTTTTCTCGACGAAATGCTCGCCAGTATCGACGTCTCCGACGCTGATATTCATCAATTAACTCCTGCAGAGATCGAACGGGTTGATAATTTACTCAAAGATATCGCTAATTTACAGCAAACAACTGAGGAAAATCAATCTGATTCTCAATCTCCTCCTTTCGAGCGACCGCCAACTCCTGTGGAAGCTACCGAAGTGCCAGCAGCAGCAGCAGCAGCCGCTGCCACAGCTGCTGCGGTTCCTGTTGACGAAGAATTGGTTCGTGTCGAGCAGGAATGGGCGAAACTAACCGACGAACAAAAACGACTTGGTTCTATCGCACCGGACTGGGTCAGCGATGACCTCGCTCCGGCATGTATGAAATGTACAAATAAATTTTCGATTACTCGTCGTCGACATCATTGCCGCGCGTGTGGCAAAGTGTTCTGTTCAACTTGTTGTTGGCAAAAAGTGAAATTAATTCATGATGATAGTAAAGAAGATCGGGCATGTAACGATTGCGTGAAAACAATCACTGAAGGTAAACGCATTGGATTTATTTTGAATGACTTTGCAACCGTGGTGCTTTGTTTCAGTCGAATATTTATGGAATTATATGCGCAATAATCAAAGGCCTCGTTCATCGGTACTACGAAAACGAACAGGTAAAGAATCTATGTCGAAGTTGATGTTGATAATGACATATTTTGTAAGAGAGTTGTTGGATCAGTGCGATATGGAACTGTGTAGTATCTTAATTGAAAGAAAAAAACATTTGAAAAATGAATTCTTTTGATTGGAAAATCTTTACTCATAAGTTTTGTTTGGTTCGGGAGTGAAACCGATTGGATGTGAATGCATTTCTTGCTTTGTCGGTACTGATTGTTGTTTATTTATCGAATGTTCCACATTCTGATTGTCTTCTTTGTTTGTATCGATGATTTTCTTTTCTTTGGGTGATTGGATTGATGAACTTTGTTCGTCAAGAAGCTGTTTTGGTGTCCGTGTTAGAATGATTTTACTATTATTAAAGATGTAGAGCTCATCGAGATTTGTTTTCGCTTTCTGGTCCAAACGTTGTCCTTTGTACATTAAGATTTGATGACATTTCGGTACTTTGAGTCGTTTTTCAATTTCTTCAAGAACTTGTTCTATGCAAATCTTTTTCTCTTTACTTGTTAATAAAAGTTCGTAAAAATCCGAACCGTATTGGACTTGCAATTTCATACAATGTGTCGATGTCGTGTTGGAAGTCATTTCGTTACTAATCAATGAAAGACTATGGCGCCAGAGATATTTTCAGAATGAAAAAGAGATGATGGCAAGGTTTTGTATTTACAAAATCGCTTTATTCAAGGTGTAGAGGGGATTGAATAACAAGAATAATAGAAAAAAAAATATGTTTTTAGGTTTGTTCTTCTTGTTCGAACGTTTTCATCTTAATTTGTTCGATTATTGGTAATCATTGGCTCGTATCGAGCTCGCGATGGATCGCCAATTAGTCGAACTTGAGCATTATTATCAATGCCAGCTTCACGTAACGTGCGATCCTTCATATTTTGTAATTCCTGACCACGGAAGAACAGTTTCTGATTCTGAACAGGAACTGTAGTGATTCGTTGTAATTCTTCCATTAGATCCCCAATACGTAAATTGTTTGTACTACGTAGAATAAGGATATGTCGATCAGAACCTAAACAAGATAAACAATTAGCAAAATAATGAAACCAAGCGAAACTATTCACCATGGAATACTTCGATTTTTAATACGTCTTGATTTCCATTATTTTGTATCGTTTCATTATTATTGTCCATTCTACTATGCAATATCTCGGAGATATATCGGTTCGTTTTCTTTGTTTTGCTTACCTTGGTGATGTCTCATTGTATCCTGTCTGTGGGCCATCAGCATAGTACTGTGCTTGTGGTTGTATATTTGGTACTGAATTTCGAACCCATAGTGAAACGAATGAATTATTAACAATACCGATACTATCCAATGGTGTGTCTGGTGGATATTGTGTTAATAAGGTACCGTTATAAGACAAATTCTGTTCGTGAATTGGTATATTGAAGCGTTGTTGTAACTCAATTTGTAAGTCGTAGATCGTTGATGGATATGGTCGACCAATGACAAGACCTTCGACACGATCGCCCATGCCGATTTGTAAATTATGAAGGAATGTTGTCGCATTCGGTGGTGTAATCGTTTGATTTTGTATTGGTTGTTGATAATAATTAGCTCTAGAGAAGAAATGGAAGATAAAGATCACGTGTGAAAGTTACTTTGCTTAATAGAGACTACTTGAAAATGTCTTTTTTTATTGGATAAGAAAAGTGCTCTTCACGTTTACGCTGTCGTTCGAGAAGGAGAAAAAGAGAATAATTTCAATGATGAATCGCTTACGATAGACTAGGATTGAATTGTTGTTGTTGTTGTTGCTGCTGTTGAAATTGATTGGACATTTGTAATGGCGGTAGTTGTTGCTGTTGATTGTACGAAGTGTTTGATGATAGCGGTTGCTGATTAGAAAGTAATTCTCGACGTCTGTTTTGTTGCGCGGGATCATCTTCTCTGCAAACACGCATTTGATGATTGTTTTCAATTCCTAATGTTTCTAAAAGTTCATTCGGTGTGTTACAAATATTTCGCCCCTAAAGAGAAGTATTTATGACGTAAGAAAGTTATTTAAAACGATTATTTACCTTCCAGTAAAGTATTATTTGTTCAAGAGGCATTTTGAATGCTTTCGATGCATCTTCCTGGACATCACGTACACGCAAATCGTAATCACGTTTAACAATCAGCGTTTGTCGATCGGAACCGTAAGCAGCTTCGATTTTAATGACTTTACGATCTTGTCGACGAGCCATTTTCTTGTTAAAAAAAAAGAAGTCAAAATAATTTCCCTCGAAATCACATTGTTAGACAAAAGCAGAAGCCCAAGCGAGGAAGCTGAAAATCGTACATGTTCGAACGGCGTCCGTCTATCTTCGCTGAAAAACATGCTGATGTTTGCCTGAGTGGTTTATGTGCGTATGGATGTCTGATAAGTGATATCACTAGTGAGAGTTTAACTTGCATTTTTACCTCGGCGTATTCGATTTCTTTACACTCGGTTCTTTTTCAAATATGATTGAGACCAGTGTGAAAAGAATTGTTAAATAAAAAACGAGGAAAATGGAATTTCTTCTGTATACGTAATTGCTCGTTTTTTTCTTCTTCTTTCCTTTGTATCGTTGAAAAAATGACAAGAGAAATTTGCTAAGAAACCGGCGTTTTCTTTTTTTCCTATTCTACTGTTGGTCATATTCGCATCTATCGTTTTTTTTTCAAATATCGACGAATAAAGTGACAATTAATTAGAGAAGAATAGAAAAGAGAACAAGAAGCATTGTTCTCATGTGGTTTCACCTTCACAATTTCAGATTCTGTTTTTTTCTCTTGTTCTTTCAACATTTTACTTTTACCCCTAGTGACAGAATATGTGTATATATATGTTTCTCTTCGTTGTCACGACAAATCAAATACAATGTTATTCCCGATTTAAAACGAGAAAGAAAGAAAATTGTTAAGAATGATATTTGAGATTTGTCGTTGATATAAACAAAAATTAACTATCATTCAGAATATTGTCGATATTTTGACAACCAGAAGAAAGTGGTAGAACGAACCTGTATTTCCGCTTCGTGCGTTGCTTTGCTCGTACCGATTGGATCGTAGAGTTTATTCCATATACGATCATGTTGAAGATTTAGTAATGGATCGATGTTACTCGATCGATTAAACGTTGCACCTGGGAGACTCTGATGGCCAGTGGTCCGTTGAGTATGCTGACCAGTATGTTCAGTTCCACGAGAAACACCCGCATGGGCTCGATTATTTTTATTCGAATCTCGAACATTGTAATCATATGAGTAATCATATGTGGTTCCCATTTTGTAATGAAAAAATTGAATTGAATCTGGAATAAACCGAAATGAAAGAGGAGGAAGAGTATGAGAGTTAGAAAAGTGAAAAGAAATGTGTATGTGGAGTTTAAACGAAATAATAAAGCCCTTTCTGTTCGACTACCATGCCAGCAACACTGTTTCTCTTTCTATATATATATACGCTTCTCTTGATACTCTTTTGTACACGAAGGTTATTTCAATACGATTTCCTACAACTTCCTTCGATCTCTTGTTCACAATTTTTTGCAAGTTTAGATTTTAATAAGAGAAGCCTAGAAAATGCTGTCGTGATCTATGCTCTCAAGAAAAATTCATAAATAACCTTCATATTTTTGCCTTTTCTCTCTATCTCACCTTTTTATGTTGAAATATATAAAGATATTCAATTCAAAAGAAAACTTTTTTTGTAAACAGTGTTAAAAATTCTCTCTATTCTCCTTCTGTGAATCTATTTCAGGTGCATCTGTTTCAGCAGCAGCAGCAACAGGAATAAATTCTGTTGGTAGACAAGGCTCGGAACATAAAAAATCAGTCACATTTGACGATGGAATCAAACCCGGTGACCAGGTACCTACGTCTACAGTCGCCGCTGCTGCAACAGTGGCAACAAATAACATCTTATCAGCACATAAAACACGTACGAATGAAAATGATCCAAATCAAGCAACATTATTCAAATCAGGTAGGATTTGAGAAGTCTAAGTCAATATACATAAATTTGTGATTTGTTTCATGTAGAAACATTAACAAGCGAAGAACTTGAAGATCGAATTCGACGATTAACAGGTTGGAATTAAGCATTGAATAGATTTGAATTGTGATTGATGACTTTAGATGAAAATGAACCGCCAGTGGAGTTTCGTATTCATAGTAATTTGATGGTAATGAGTAAAATCGTTGATAATTGTAATGAATGAGATTAGGATTGTTTTTCATCAAATATTTACTTTGAATTTCTTTAGTCGATTGCTATTTAACTCGAAATACAAAACGTTGTTGGATATTTTCAACCCGTGGTCTATGTACGATTGCACAAGATGAACTTATTTTCATTTTCGATGATAATTTAACCGATGCAAACGAACTCATATCCGATATTCTTAATCACATCCATCAGATATACGAAGATGCAACTCGAGGTTCATACAAAACGTTTATCACTTCGAAAATAAGCATAATGTATCTGATTTCAGGTTCATTTGTTCGCCATTTGGGTTTATCGTTATCATCAAAATCTTCAACATTTCTCACATCATCGACAACTGCCGGATTTCTTTACTTCGCTGATTCAACAGTGTCATATAGTTTATTTCCGGATGCACCGTATCTATTTGGTATTCTCATTGATCGATTAGAATTACCGACTGCTCAGTGTTTTCCATTGAGACTTTTACTTCGCTTAGGCTATGAATATCAAAGTATGAAAACCAACATTCTATTTTCGTTACTAATACAGATGTTTCTTAGGCTATCCATGGCCATTATTTAGTATAATCAATCGCGATGCTATTTTTAGTGATACTCAACATACAATAATGAGTTTACTTTGTGTAAATATTGATTTTATTTGATTTTAACATCCGAAATGTGGTCTGTTTTTCTTTCCAATAGGATTTTCGTTCGTTTACTTATGTTTTACCTACTATACGTGGTCTGATCATATCAGTTGGTACTCAAGGTTCCGTGTCAGTACGTATTCCGCGCAATCGTCATGATGACATACTTAAATCACTCGATCAAAGTAGCCCACATGCATTAAGTTTCGGTATAATGAATGTTAATCGTCAAATTCATTCGAAACATCTCGTTACAATCCAAAACTGCGCAGATCAACAATACGAAACGCGAATCTTTTCGTCGGCCGATTGCAATAATGAACAAATCATGATTGGTGCAAATTTTCTTGTGATTAATGCAAGTCTTCGTTCTCGTGATAGTCCATCAAGTTCGCCATTGGACACGCAAACTGGTGGAAGTTTTTCATCCAATAATTTAAACGCAAAAGTCAATTCAATTGAAGACGGAATTATGTTGCAAATCGATGGTGATGCACTTAAAGTGCTTAAACAATGTTTAAGAGAGAGAAAAGACTATGCGATATTAGCAAAAGCAAGAGCGATTGTTACCGATGAACAAAAAGACGGAAATGTTGTTAAAAGAAGTTCAAGTGAACAGTTAGTAGAATTTATCTGGATTGATGAGGATAATGATGTTAATCGAGGGTAAATTGTTCTTTACCAACGAGAGAAAGTTGTTCAACTCGCTTTTTCGTGTAGAGTTCGTTCACCGATTGATCATTTTCCGATGGATGGAATTCGTAATTCTCGTATTCATTATGCTGGGCAACGTTCGCCATTATTTCGAATCCGATGGACGGATTTGTTTTTTATTGAATGTCATTTGAATAATAATGAATCTTTTGATCCAACACGTTTAGCTGATTCACTTGCAAAAGCTTTTACACAAGCCTTAACACCTTTTATTGATATGCTTGTCGAAGCGAAATATCGTAAATTAGGTTTACGGGTGACAATTGATCGAGAAAATGTAAGGAAAAAAAACTTTGTTTTTATTCCAAGTAAAAATTTCTGTTTATTCTTTGTTTTAGGCTTCATATTTAGCCGGTTCAAATGGTGAACAATTATCACCGTTCTTTCTTAGTCAACTTGACGATCATATGATCCCAATTGTAATGAAAGCATCAGACAATATCTCACGTTCAGCTCCAACGCTTGTTCTTGAACTTGTCTTTTATTTAATTGATTAGTCGTGTGCATTAAATGGTACTTCTTTTTTTCCAAACGTCTGGCCTCTATTTCTTTGTATATGATTCTTCTTTTTCCTCGTTGGTCTTTCACGTTCTTGACCATTTATTTATGAATACAAAAATGAAATCAAATAATATAGACCCACATGAAGAAGAGTGAAAACATTTCATTGTAATTGAATTTACTTCGATGGACTAACTACGTTAGAATTCTATCCAACTGAAAACAAGAGAATTCCTTGAACAATCCGTGTTGAATAGTAAATAAAACAAAAGAATCAGTCAAGTATTTGTGGATTATGTTGTAATACCACACTCACGTGACATGATGAATGGAAAACGAACTGATAAATTATTCCTACAAACGTATATCATCGTTAATTTGATCTAGTCGATCGCTGCAAATCGAATTTTACTTAAAATAAAATCCATCCATAAGGTATACTTTTCTATAGATTTCGGATCTATGTTACTTCGAAGTGTTTTAATAAGAAAATCAAGTCGTTGAAAGAAACGTCTATTGATCGCATTTTGTGTCTGTACGCATCATTCCAAACTTCGTCTATTGCGATAAATCAATTTGTTAAACCATTCAACCAGGCGTTAATTCTAATTGAACATTTCAAGAGAAAAAAATCATTGATAATTTTCTTGATTTTAGTCGATTTATTTCTTTAAAAAATTATTCATAAAGATATTATTGTAATATATAAATAAAAGACAATAACAAAACGAAACACTGGGAAAAGGTTCGATACTCTAAACATAAAATGGCACATGGAATGACTCTAACTCCCCGCATATATGTAAATATCTGCATATAAATATAAATGACAATGAGAGATGATTAAAATACTACATTGCACATACAAAGACAAAATCGATTTAAAAAAAAATGAGAAGAATGGTTTATTATTGAATATTTCGTCATGATTTATTTGAGATCAACATCTCCATTGATTTTCTTGGCAATATCATCGATCAGCGACCGAAATATTCGATCTGCACGTAATGGTGTTAATGGTGTATCGTCGAAATGTTTTAAAAAAGCTTCTTTATTCTGTTCTTCAATGTCCGCCATTAATTGTCGAATCAATTTTACTTCGAGAGAACGCTCTTCGAATAACGGATTATCTTGTAAGTATCTATTCAAGGCCGTATTTGCATTTTCAATGTCAATGCACAACGCACACATCGTTGCTCTGAAATATTCGTGCTTTAAAGTGAGAAAAGAGTTGTTTTTAATGAGTTTACCTTAGCCAATAGTCTTTTGAAGTGAATTTTAACATTCCATCATCTTTTGTTTTGTCCGCCATTTCTTCGTATTCTTGCTGAGCTTGAATATGTTCATGTTGTAAGACGAGTGTCTCCGCCATTTTCTTTTGCACACGATTCGCCGCTGACTTTTGTCCTTCTTGTTTTAAAAATCGATATGCTTCTCGTAAACATTTCATCATCGGTTCAAAGTTATTCATTTGTTCATGCAATTCAGCAGCTTTTTCTAAGATTTGTGAAGCCATCGCCCATTTACCTTGGCTCATGTTCAACTCCGCTGCGCGCATCAACGGCGCTACAGCTTGAGGAACATCAAACATCTTGTACGATGAAGAAATTGCTTCGTACATTTGAGCTTTTTCGTAATCTTCTGTACTTAAATCGAGCGCTCGTTGATAAGCTTCAACTGCTGTAGGATAATCACTTTCAGCGCGTGCGGCATTTCCTGCTTGAATGTAAAGTTCTCTTGCATCATCAGTGGCCCCACTGCCCGATCCCATCATTCGTTGGAAAAAGCCATTGGCAGCTTTGGCTTTTTTGTTTGCTTCAGTCATTAATTGAGCTGCTGATTTATTCGATTTACTGGCCATGGTTAGTTTCAAAAAATCTGAAAATCAAAACTGAATTTTTGAAATATTTGATTTGAATATTTCAGATGAATATAAATCTGAATATTTCTAATTACAAAAAGAAAAAAGAAGAATTGAGATAAACCATCGACGGTTGGATTTATTTCGATATTTTCTCACATCTGAAAAGGAAAACAAACTAAATAGACATCAATTGCCTTGTCTATCTTTACCTTCCAACGATTTCCACAGTTTTTACAAAAAACAAATAATGTCATTGGTTCATCCGCACTTCGCGTTTGAGCTTCTGTATACGCGCAATTATTTTGTTTACAACTAAAATCATTTCATATTTCATTCAGTCAACTTATCAACGAATCATTCTTTTACCGTCGACATTGAATGAGATCTGTACCCGTGCCTTCATCTGTCGCCAATTGATATTCATTAATAGCAAGGCCGGTTAATTTCGTCCGTTCTTGTTTCAGTGCATCACTTGCCATTTCCTATGTTCGGAAGAAAAACAAACGTCATTTGCTATGTTTAAATAGGTCACAAACTTCGGCGGTGAGAATAGCAAGTCGTTCTGGAGTTATCAAACCGAGAAGAACGTTGATACGAAGATTAGGATTCTTTGCATCTTTTAAATTTGCTACACGACTGCGGATACGATTGCGATATTTCACACTTGTATCTTTTAATTCGTTATAAATCGCTGAAAACGAACAATGCTTTTTCTATGAAGAAAAAGAGTTCTATTGAGACCGTACCGTCTTCACATCGTGCTGCTAATTCAACTGGATCGGCAGAACCTTCCGGTAACTCCACCATGGACAATGCTCCAGCTAAGAGATCACGTGATTTCAATCTTTACAAGGAGATGAATAAATCGAAAAGACTTAATGACTCTTCTTTCTTTTTACCGAACATCATCTTTAGTCTGTAAACCCGTAAAGTTACTTGTTGAAGAAGCACTTTTCGACGGTTGTCGTTCTGATGCTTTGCTTGAATCACTATTTTTTCCACTACTTACATTTGTTTCTTGAGAATTTTGACTATTATTATTACTACTACCACTTGCTGATGCCGTTTGCTTCTCATCTTTATTTGCCGCTGTTGTTTCTTCACAAAACACATAAATAAACAAAGTTAAAGTGTCAAAACCTTACCAGGTACAAGTTTTTTCCAATTTTTCAAAAGACCTTTGGCAATAGTTGACACATCTTCACTTGCAATCAATCTTCGTAAATTGTTGACTGTTTTTCCAATACCCGTTTTTTGTAAGATACCTAGTGTAATACGTGATTCTTGTAAACGACCGAGTAAATCCCGAGCGATGCTTTCATCCTAGGTTTATTTATTAGATCGAAGGAAAAAAAGTACTGGTGACGACATACGACATCGGATTTGTCGATCATTTTTTGTAATTTTCGATTGATTTTCACGATTTCTTCTTCAGCCATCTCATTCAACGAGTAGCGATAGAACCGATCAATAAAAAAATAAATAAAAATAAGTACTTGCTCAGTCAAGTTTTGTTTTCTTCAATACGACCTGTCTCCTTTACTCGAAGATGACTTTGACAAATAAACGACAATCACTCATTTTCATGTCACTAATTTTTTTTACTAAACGTTTCAATCATTGAAAACAATCTCGAATCGCAAATAAATATTGTTCAATCAACATATATACAAAACACATATAGATGGCGCTAGTCATTCACGCGCATATTGGAAATCCTATTCGTTCATACCTGATTTTGTGGACGAAACGAAAAATTGAACAATTGTCTGTAAAACGGAGTTTTCTTCTCTTTACCGAACGATCTTCCTTCTCTGTCAACTTCGATGATCTAAACCGTTTGTTTGCAAACATCACACTCGTTCTGTGTATAAACAAAACGAAAGAGAAAAAAGAGATTAGAACGGGATTGATTTAACTTCATCGAACGAACGATGACCATCAATAAACAACGACTTAGTTACTATTATTCATTCATATACAATGACGACAAGTATTTTCATATTTCTTCTATCGTTCACAATTCAACAGAGTAAGTCATGGTTTGATTTTTAGAAGCCAAACAATATCATCTCTTTAGTTCGAGCGGATTGTCAGAATGAAACATCAGCAGAGTCAACGTTTGTCTATCGACGCGTGTAAGATGGTCTTTGCTTTGTATTTTCTCCTAATTAACTATCGATTTCCAGATGTTATTTTGCAAATTGGGCCGCAAAGCGATATGATAATATCAGTCGTTTAACTCCTGAGGATATCGATCCATTCTTATGTACACATATCAATTTTGCTTTCGGAAAAGTTTTAGAAAGCTTGAACATCGCACCGTACGAAGAAGATGATTTGAAAGGTTGGACAGCGAATTCGAAGGGCATGTACGAACGGATATTGAAATTAAAAGAAGCCAATCCTGATCTTCGTGTCCTTCTCAGTGTGGGAGGATGGACACATGCATCGCGTGGTTTTAATGAAGTATCGAAAAGTGCTGCAAATATGTAAGATTTCTTTGTCGAGAAACAAAACTCAACATAACGATTGATTTGATTAATCGATGTAGAAAAACGTTTGTCAAGAATAGTGTGAAATTCCTACGTGATAATAAATTCGATGGATTAGATTTAGATTGGGTAAATGAATGTATGTTACATAGATGAGCTAAACTCGAATGTTTTATTGACATAGGAATATCCAGGAGCGAAAGATCAAGGTGCTGAACCTCATTCAAAAACCGGTTACACGAAATTAGTCAAAGTAAATGAATTCTTCTTCCAAATGAAATATCGAACAGCTATTTGTTATGAAAAATTTAGAAATTAAGTCGAGTGTTCAAACGTGAAGCCGAACGAACGGGCCAAGAAAAACTTCTACTAACTTGTGCTACAGGTATTTGATTCACCAAAGAACATCACATTTATATACGAAAACCATTTTCTTTTAGCTGCAGCGCGGCATCGAATTGAAGCTGGTTATGAAGTTGAAGAAGTTTGCAAGTATAAGAACACTCCTCTATTTTCTTCAATCACATTCTTGTCTTTGCTAATAGATATTTTGATTTCGTCTCTGTGATGACTTGTAAGAAATCATTGAACTATGATCGAATTGAATTTGTACCTATGTGTTCAAATAGATGATTATCATGGTAGTTGGGACGGTAAAACCGGACATAATAGTCCATTGTATGCGATGCGAAATGAACGGAAGAAGTTTCGTGAATGGAATATAAATAGTTCAATGCATGTGTGGGAAGAACTCGGTTGTCCGAAAGAGAAATTGAATATTGGCCTTTCGGCTTATGGTTTATTCTCGTGTTTTTGGAGATTTGGCATTGGGAAGATTTTGTTTTAGGACGAGCCTTTTCATTATTTGGAGAAACGGGTATGAATAATGGTAAACCAGTCTCGAAGAAGAAATCGTCGATCGGCGTGAAAGCAAGTGCAGCTGAAGCAGGAAAATACACACGAGAAGCGGGAGTTTTAGCTTATTACGAAGTAAACTTTTATTTCATAGAAAGAAATGTATATGTCACGTTCATAGATATGTGAATTATTACAAAATAATCCAAGTAATCGTGTGTTTTGGCATCGACAGATGAGTGTGCCCTATGTCGCAAGTAAAAGTTTATGGATTGGCTTCGATAACGTTCGTAGTGTCACACTCAAAGTAAACTTACAAAGACGTTCACGAAAAACAAAAAACTATTCCTTTTTTTGGAAAAATTCAGATGCAATTCTTGAAAGATCATGGATATGGCGGTGTGATCATTTGGTCTCTCGATCTCGATGATAAAACAGGCGAAACTTGTCATGAAGGACCCTTTCCGATTTTTAATGCAGCAAAGCGCGAGCTACTGATCTTACCTGAGCATCTTGCGGATAGAAATAAGAAATGTTCAGATGAGAATGTTACTGTCACAAGTGAACATCTCCATTCGAAAATGACTCAAGTAAAACACAGTAAGGCTCAATGAATGAACGAAAATATTCTGAAAAGCTCTCTCCGATTTTAGATATTTTCTTTCTGTTTTACTTGGTGTTATTAAATCTCATCTAAACAACACGAAACCATCGAGATCGACATCTCATTCCTTTCATTGATGTTTGCTTTTTGTAATTTTTAACTCAATCAAATAAATTTCAATTTGATCTGTTTGTCATACAAATCTTTTTCTTCTCTAGATGGGAGATGATTTACTTGAATTCCGAGATCGAATTTCTCTTGCTCTTTGCGCTAATCGACCCGAAGATATCATCTCCATCTCGAAAACTTATTTAACAACCTTTCGCGATATTCCTCCGAATGATCGTCAGACGGTTTACTCGACTTACCAGAAACTTATTCTTGATTTCAACTTCAAATCGTATTGGAAATTGATTTCCACAGGATTGAAAGAGAAGATCGAACTGGAATACTTGGAATCGATTGAAAACGAAATCGATTATCTTTGTAGTGATATTGTTGAAATGATCGATAATTATTTCCTCGCTTCGACGCTCAATGAAGATTTAGATATTATTTACACATTGCGACAACGTGCGGACTTTCTTTTCTTTAATTCTTCGATTGCAAGACCAGCGACAAAACAAATTATCCTTCAATCGGCTTTGCGTTCATACACAGAAGGTAAAGAAAAGAACTATAATCGCTTTTTTTTTCGATGCTTTGCGTTTTGAACAGGTGTCGAACGATCGCGTTTAACATTAGCATTCAATGAACCTGAACGAGTGTTAATTCAACTTCGTAAATGTGCTTGTGAAGTACAATTATCCAATGGAATTTGTTCTTCGGAAACATATTTCGAATTAGTCAATGAGATTCAACAAATGAAATCTTCATCAGTATCATGTGATCCACAACTTATCGAACAAATGGAATCTTATCGTTTAGAATTAGACAAAATTCGACGTAAATAAATGTTGTTTTTCGATGTGAAACTTTTGTTTGTTTGAAATTTTATCAGTGAAATAATAAATAATCATACCTGACGAACGTATTTTCGTTGTTTATTATAACTCATTTTACCAAAAAAGGTGATTTCAACAAACGCCAAATAAGGCAAAGGCAACTAACACTCAATGACTCACAGCCGTATGTTTTGCGTTCTGTTCTTCTCTTCTATATGAATTCATTCCTCGAAGAGAAGAAATACCATTATCTTTTTTCTTTTTTGTACATACTCTGGTAGATATCTCTCTTGCCCATATATTTCTTTTCTTTCTAGAAGAAGAGAATAACAGCATCGTGACATAATATGGCATTATCGATGGAAATAGGACGATGCTTGATCAATGACCTTCCTGAACTTGTCTTAGTTCATATTTTCTCTTTTTTAACAATTGATGAACGACAAGTCGTCGAAGAAACATGTAAACTATGGTATAATCTTCTGCGGAATTCTCATCATTTGGCATTTCACTCCGTTGTGCAATTGCACGCACTGATTGAAGATGTTCCGGTGCCGACAAAACTAGGTCGGGTATTACCCCGATGGACACGATTAACTCGAGATTCGTCGAAACCAGCTCAAGCAATCGACCCGAGACCGTACGGTTATATTCAACAATATCTGAAACGATTTCGAACTGATATTAAACATTTACATATCGATGTTGAACAACATGATGTTTCATGTCGATTTGTTCTTTGTCAACTTTTGACGCTTTTTGGCCCGGAACAATGTTCACAAGGTCGACAGATTCGTTCATTTTCCGTTCGATTTATAAGTCACAATCCATTACTAATGAAATCTCAAGATATTATTCAAGCTCTACGTATCTTTTTCCAATACGACGCTTCAAAAAATCACCGACACTCGCTGATCTCTTGCGATTTGTCTGGTCTAACCATCTCCTTAGATGATGATACAATCTTATTGCTAACGAAGAATAATCCCTGTTTACGTAAATTAAATTTACAAGACCAATCTTTAGTTTGTATATTAACTCCGTTTTGTATTTTACAAATTATCGACATGCTGAAGAGCTTGGAAGACTTATGGATTGACATGGTATCTTTATCAGATGAATTTATTTTAATGTTGGTTATGGAAGAAGAAAATGAACAAAAGATAAGTAAACGGGCGACTCTGAAACATTTGGGAGTGAGAATTCGACGTGAGGAGAAATTCTCCGATGAAATTGATATAAGTTTGTGGCAAAAATTACGGGAAGAATACCCGCATTTGAAAATGACATTAAATTTCGGTTTGACTACCCCATTGAATCGTATTCGAGCTTATATGAACGCAAATTTACATTTACCGGTGCGTATTCATCAAAAATTCACAAATCTTTTCAACATTTTCCACTCTTTTTAGGTGCAAACGTTAATCATCAATACACCGATTCCAGTCGTCGATGAACTTTATCTCGCAGCAGATAGTTTTGCCAGTACTTTAGAAAATATCCATATATGCACATCAGGTCAGTGGGCTGCAATAACGCGCACACCAAATTTTGCCAAAGCGGTGGTTTATATTGCATATCAATGTACTCATTTACGTACACTTTATGTTGATGTTGCGCTTAATGCTGATGCAATTGAAGATATCTATCGATTACATCCGCATTTAAAAGAACCTGGTGCAAGTAAACTTCTTCTTACCGATTGTCCCACTCATACAATAAATCCTGAAGACATGGGCGATCTATTTGGTTAAAGAATGCGTTCATTTGTTCTCCTATTTCTAAAATAATCATGCTTGTACTTCGCTGATAACTCATCTTATCATGTAAAACTATGTTTTTCTATTTTGAAATAATTTGTCAATCATTGTTTTGAAACAAAATATAAATTCTCAATCTTCAGTCAAACTTAATGTTATTCGAAATGAACCGTTTAGATCGATTAAAATAAGAAGCATTTGATTTTTTTATTCATCTTTTTTCTTATGAGTCGCGGGTTTAAAATAATAATCTATAATGTCAACAACCACAAAAGTCGAAATATTTTTCGACAAAAGTTTCAATAGAAAGTAATTATCGGCATTTAAATGTCCCTTGGCAAACGCTTGAATCTGCTCCGGTGAACATCTATTTCGATCGATTAAATGCGTTCGAACATAATGTTCTCTGCTCTTATCACTGCTAACAAAACAATGGATTAAATGGATGATCCATTTGATAAGATCGAAGAATGTTATCACACCTAATAGAATAAACCAAATGTAAAGAAAAACATACATCTTCTCCACGATAATGTTTAATGGTAGAATACATTCGACGGTGTAAGCATGATTCGATGCTAATTCTCGAAATGTAAAATCACAGAGTGTGCGTTTTGGAAATGAACTTGTATCAATTAATTCCGTCACTCCCGACGTCATTTTCTGTGCAAATTGAGCGAGAAAATGCGTCTGCAATGATTCTTTCTTCAGATGATTGAATCTCGATATTCCCAATGGACGTTTTCCGATGATTAAGTGAATCAAACCAATTTGAAGTAAACAGATGAAAACATATAAACATTTCACTCCGATGTAACTGATGATTAGATAACATGAAGAAATTCTTTGACACCAGCGAGGAGTTTGAGCGAGTCGATTCCTTCGATTCTCTTTTTCGAATAATTCCGATTTCAAATGAGAGAGTTTGTCTTCACGATACTCTTTCACCGATTTCTTCTTATCAAACGGTGGAAGAGCATAAACTTGACTGGCATTATTCAACAAATCTTTTACATTTTGTCGACTACCTGACACTGCAAACGACCAAACCAACTTCGGTAAATAGAAAAGAACAGCTTGAGCTCCAAGAATCCATGGCTAATCAAACAAATAAACATAATCTTTAAACTACTCGAAATCAAATGTTCTACATACCAACCATTGATAATAAATTATCAACGATTCATATCTTTCATTGATCGTTGTAGGTATTCGTCGATTATCGGGGATATAATACGTATTATTTGCATAACAATATGCTGTTATCGCTTTTTCATACTTTTTTAACTGTGCTGGTATCCAACATATTATCGGCACCGCATACGACGTTTTCACACCGCAAAGAATCGCAAATAAACATAAAATTCCCACTGTAAACTTGTAACTTAATCGATCGACAAGGAAATCTTCTGCTTTTGCACGAACATTCGCAAACGACAAGATCCCCGAAAATGTATTTGCAATTTTTAATATTTCCATCGACAGAACCAATCGATACTTGTCACAAGAACTTCTATATGTATGAACACCGTGCGTATTCACCTTCCACCACTACCAGTCGTGTACAAAATTGCTTCTCTCTCTCTTTTTTTTTTCTTCGGCGCTTCCCTAACAAGTTTGCCTCGATATGTATGTATGCATACGTCTGCTCACGAGTGAGCAAAGAAATCTAACAAAAGAACAGAACGAAAAAAAGATTTGACGTAATATTTCATGCAAGAAAGAGAGATGGCCTGTTTGGTATGCAATTGGGCACATACACGCAGAGGTGGAGAAAAGGGTAAAGAGAAAGAAAGAACAGTAATTTTGTTCTGTCATTTTTAGCTCCTAGTCATATATGATTTTGTTCTCCCTTGTCGACGTGTTCTTCCCATCCTATCCAATTGAAGAAGAAAAAAAAACGAGATGAGATCAATAATCAGATGAGAATGCCGAACAGGAATGTAAAGCGACTATCAATGTAACATTACTGTCAGGCATCAACTTTACTCAATGCCGTGTTATGATAAAGCCAAACCAATAAAGTTGTTTGCGAACCAAGGAGGAAAAAATTTATTATAGCAAAACAAAAGAATTAACAGAATGGTTTATTTTTCTTCGATTTTTGTGGAGTGAAAAATCTCGTCGAACCAGTCTTGTTGTAATGGAGGATATTCGTGTGATTGACAATTAACATTTTCAACACTGATATTGAAGAGTGATAAGTTCGGACGAAGAGAATATCGATAATAATCGTCGTCACATTCTTCTTCTTCGATGTAATTGTTCACGTAGATGTTTTCATGATGAATGTGTTCTTTCGACCGATGATGGCTGAAGACGACTTTCGAAATTGGTAATGGTGGATGACGACGGAGTATTGGAACACTTTGCGGAACAAAGTTGACATTCTGAACGAACACAAATAGGAAATGTTTCGGTGAAATGAAAAAGAGAACCACTTACTTTCACGACTGTTTCAGTTGGTTTGACTTTCTTGTTGTTGGTTTTGAACGTTTGTTGTGATTTTTTCGATGTGAAGGAGAGTGTACGGGAAATCCGTGAGACAATCTTGGACAACGATGAAGAAGATGACCATTTCGATGATTTATTTGTCGACATGATTTCAATCGTTCAGTGGAATGTAACAAGAACTGGAATATGCAAGAATATAAACGAAAGGACAGCTGAATGAGCTTAACGAAATTTGATAGGACAATTAAGACAACGTCTTTTGATTAATTCCATTCAGATTGCTGTTCCTTTTTTTTAAGAATGAACTAATTGGCTCAATTGACTTTTTTGATCATCTTATCTTAACATTGTTCTTCGTTCGGTAATTGATGATCAACAATACAGAACATATGTATTTGTTTGAATAGGAGAAAGTAGCTCGAAAACATCTGCATGGCGTTAGATAATCTTTGGTTTGAGGAACTGAACGATAATTCCAATCACGTGTGTTCTGATTAATGTGAAACTGTTATATTAGCTGATGTGAGAAAATAAACGAGAAGATTTTTTTTTTAAAGTTCAGATAAACTTGAGATGGGTATACGACGAAAATGACATAATTTATTCGTATTTATACGTATGGGATTGTTCGATTTAGTAAGAAATTGTTTTAATAGGTGAGCAAATCGAGTTCAGAATATTGTACAAATTGGCCTGTGCTGCGTTTGGACACAACCAGAAATCGATAACTGGAATACCAAATAGTATTATTTTGTATGGATATCGTGACACCCCAAGTTTTTCGTCCAGGATCGATATCAAGACCGGATGAACCATTATAGATTAACGTCCAACTGGATCCAAGCGTTAGTTCCGAAAAAGGATGGTTACTTCCTTCAATAGTGACAACCAACGGATCACGTTCTGGATAACTATTGGGTGTTGCAAGTCGGAAGGCTAAGAGTAACGAAGGACCTTGTTGTGGAGAGAGATATACTCCTGTATTTTGACCACACTGAGTCAGACTATACCCTTGCGTGACATTGCAAGCGCCGTAATTGATATATTTGGTGAAAAGAAAGCCATCAAATAGTTTTGTTGGGCCTTGAGTGGGAAAATAATTACCTGTACTAGTACCAGGTGATGATGGATAACTATCATGAGAAGCACTTGTGTTCCAAATACCGTAAACAGTTGCATTCCGACTGATTACGGTTGACGGCACTAAAGAAAAGTACCGATGTAGATGGAAAACTTTATTGGTTGTGAATGATAAAATTTCATTTTCATTTTGATACGCACCAGGCAATGTTTTGTTTACGAATATGAAAACGCTGCTCATTTGATCCGTTGTTATCAGCTTTAAAGTACCTTGATCAACAGATGCAAGGAAAAGAAAGCAACTTTGAGCGATACCAGAAAACATTGCAATAAGACATTTCGAATTGTTAGAGCATGAACAAATACAGCTCATCGGGAATGAAACATTGATGATGCTTTCCAACATCGTATAATTATTGTTCGGGATGAACTCTGCATTACTAATTACGATTAAAGCAGATGAATATGGCAGACAGGCGATAATAATTACCCAACGCATACTTCTATAAAAAAAACCAAATTAATAAAAATGTTCTAAGCTTTTTCTCAGTTCATTTCTTCTATGAAACAAATTATATGGCACCACAATGTATTCAATTGTCGAGAAGTATTTGAAATATATTAAATACGGAATATTTTCCAATTTTTCCTTTTTTTTTGTTGTCGTCGTCAAAACTGTGTCTTGTTACGAGCATATATTTGATAGATAGTTCTTAGTGCAAAAATAGTATATTTTTCCATCACTTTATAATTGAATCTGCGACTGGTGCTGTCAGTCATACAAGTGTTAATACAACATTTAGAAGATGATTTTCTTGAAAGTATGTTTGTACCAGGTGAATATGTATTTTAATCGCATAGTGCTACGTATTTTGAATGACGAAACATAAATAGCACCAACACTTCATTTTTAAGATGCAAAAAAACATAAGTTCAGTCGCAAATGTCTCTTACGACATTCATATTCCCATAGATCAATCAGTTAATCGATGCGTTTTTCTTTCTGACATGTCCCATAACGGATTCTTCGACAAGACACGTACATATTTCCTTTTCGAATGGATTCGTGTTTACGAATATGTTGATAGTAAATGTAAAACACATTAACTTTTTCTACTAATCAATTTTATTTAATAAATAAATGATAAAAATCACAAATTTATAATTTATATAAAACGCATCTAGGCTTATTATGCAACCCTGAAATGAAAGACCATATATAAAATTATTTGTACAATAAATCTTCATTACGAATTATCTCGTAGATACGAAATGGCATCTTGTAATTCTTGATTTTTTCTTTGTTGTTCTTCGATTTGATACTCATAGTCCGCTTTCATTTTCTCATTTTTCTCTTGAATATCTGCAATTTGTTGTCTTAAATTTTCGTTCACTTTCCGCAATTGATTACAATTTTGTTTCACATCATTATGTGCGTTTTCAACTTCGACTAAACTTTCTCTTTTCGCATTCAAATTCTCTCGACTTGCACGAATCTGTTCTCCAAATTGATATTTCGTCAGCGCATACCGAGTTTTATACAAAACAGTAATCGGGCGTACAAAGTCGGTTAAATTTCGGAGGATTGGATACCATCGCCGCACTCTATACGCATCTTTTTCATCGATATAGGTGTATTGAGACAAACTACACACATATTCTGGCGTCGAATATTTATGTATTGAGAGAAGTTTCTCATTGAGATAATGTGGTACATCGAGAAGAACACGATCGGATGAATCGACATCATCGAATGTGATCAAACAGATTCCAGCTGTATCTTCTTCGTCGAGTATTTTCAAATCACGAATTGTCCCATATGTACCGAAATACGACCGAAGATTTTCATCCGTAAACAAAGAATCTAAGTTTCAAGTAAATACATGTTGCACGGAACAATTTAATTTACCTGGTGAACTGAGTCGAATGACGATTTCCGGCGAAGATATGAGTCTCTGACATTTTGTAATTGAATCCGGCAGTAAGCGTTTGATAGTAATTCCATACTCATCATGAAATTGAGATCTTTTACTCATACATAAATCTACACACGCCTGATCATTAAATTCAATAAATGCAAACGATTTTCCTACAAAAAAAGATGTACGAGCAATTCCATACTCCTATCATTTTCATTTACCTGCGAATCTCGCTTCACTATATGACATGACTTGACAATCGAGAATGTATTGATTGTCATTCATGGTCCCATGTTTGATAAAATATGCCCGTAGTTTTTCATTTGTCCAAAATTTGTTGTCAAGTACACCGACAAATAGCTGACGTCGTTTGACTGACATTAATCTACAGAGCAGAAAAACACATTTCGATTGAAAATACTTCTATACAAGAGAGAAATCAAGTTTATTCTGTTCAACACTGAAAAAGAATGTTCAAATAGAAGAAAATACATAAATATCCGAAAAATAGATTGAGGAAAATAATCATTAGCAAATGCAGTTAGTAATCTACCAGAAAAACCAAAACAATGGACGGGTTAAACTAACCATGAATTGATCGTTGATTGACTATTTCTTTGATATTTATACATAGACGGAGCCATAAAGCATTTTGTCGAACTTTCTTACTCACCTTCATTCTGTTTATCATTCACATTCGCTATTGGAACAAGAGAATCATGCTAGAAGAGTTCTGTTCAAATAAACGAAACTCACTGGTTGAGTTTAACGAACTATTGGATATGCATTGACAATCGTCGAGTTTATTTCGTAATTCATCAAGATTCAATTCAAGTTCAGTTAAAATCTTTGTTGTCTAGAACAAATTTAATGGCTTGCTGGTTAGAAATGAAATTTACATGTAAATTTTTACCCTATTGGATGAAATATATACAAAAGAAGATAAATCAACGAAATTTTTCTTCAATCCTTGAAACTGTGCAGTGTAATCGACAGTTTGAGCTTGATTCTTTCAGAAAGGAAATCAACAAGTTCTTTATTTTAGTCTTCATAATAAAGATGGATTACCCGTAGAGAATTGATTTCATCATTCCAATTGAGAATATGTGCGTTTGCATCAAACTTTCTTCTTCTTTCTAAGTTCCGACTCTTCGATGGGAGAATATCTTTCTCATTCAGTAACATATTCAGTTGTAGCTTTTGTAATTGATTAGAAATCAGCGAAAGATTCCAATGTTCCAACATATTCAAACGATTTCTCAATTGCTCGATCGTTATCAAAGCATCACTAAGATCCGTTTCTGAGTATCTCTTCTCCACTAATTCAATGAGAAAGCAATGCACATGCAAAAGACAATACACATCAAATTGTGTTTACTTGCATTGATACGAACTGACAGATCTTGAACATGGCTTTTCAATTGAATATTTGCATAAATCAAACCAATACTAGAAGGAATCGACATCGGTTGACATTAGAATTCTTAGGAGAAAACTTACCAAATACTGAGGAAAGTACAGAGAGTAAAAATGGATATGATGCATTGTGAATATTTACACAATGAAGAATGTCGAGATGTGTGTCTAAACACGCGAGAAAACTTGTGTAAATCTTCAAGTGAGGAAGTTTATGCGTTGAGCGAACCGAGAGATGGAAAGTTTTTGTTCAGGTAAAAATAATTCATCTTCAGAACTGCGGAGAATATCATCGGAACGTTTCTTAGCCGGGCGAAATTTCAATAAACTGTCCAATTGTTTCCGTTTCCGTATTTTTTTATTTGAACGACGTGGAATGTTCGACGATAATTCATTGACTTCTAAATCTTGAAGAGTACTAGCCATTTTGATCAGGAAAAGATTTCGGCTGGAATTGATTTTGGTTTGTATTGAATAGATACGGAGATAATATGAGAAATAGCAATCGACATATAAATGGGAAAAAATATTTTTATGATCAAAGTTATTTATTTAAAATTTAATGAAATGATTTGCGGAACAAGAACATTTGTATTTTTTCATGTATGTAAACATCTGCAGAAAACAATCGAAATAGCGATTGAGTTCTTTTCATCGTAAATTCTGCATTACATGACATGTGTAGCCAGTAGAATACGGAAAGATAGAGGACGGTAGAAATCAGGGACTTGAAAGAAGGAAATGTAATCGGAGATCGAATGTTTTAAAATGACAATGGGAAGTCATTGCGAGCATTCGAATGACTTGATTCTTTCTTTATCAGTTGTTGATATATTTTTTCAAAATACTCGCTCAGAACATACTCAGGAACATCCTTTTCTTTCTCTACGATTATCTTCTCGTTTCATACGTTTTGAAACAACTATAGAACTCAAATCATCACAGACTGGAAGATGGGAACGCTCAGGCTCTCTGTCGGAGTCAGTGACTATTTATGAGTCAGGCAGTGTGGATTCCAAGTTTGAAGTGTTCCCGGATACACTTGAATATATCGTAGCAAGTGACCTGGAAACGTTCTTTTTCTAGTTAAATCTATTCTGCAGAGACATGATCGTACGTCTTTCTCTTTTATGAGAATCTTCGATAAACTAATATAATACGTTAACTACAGTTACTGATAAGAGTGGCATCTGCGATGAAAAAGATGCGTCATATTCTTAGTCTTGTTGAGAATGTCGAATTTTTTACTTCTTTGGCGTATCTACCTTCTATTCAATACCTATATCATCCATCCGTATGACTCATAGGTAGAATAGTGACGAATATTGGTAATGCATCTTGCGAATGATTTTATTTATGGAGTACTTTTGATGACAATTATTCATGTTTTTCAATTGCAACGTAATTATCATAGAGTAGTCATTAAAATATGAACGATTTCAAAAATTGTATGGACCTGTCGATATGTGCACCAGAGAAACTAATAAAAAGTGCAAAAAAATTACATCGATTAGTATTATCAGACTTCTGTTTTTCTTGAACAATGACTAACGAAACATGAGTCATAGAAAGCTTGAAAAGTCATCATTGTTGAAGATTGTGCCTGACCATGACACACATAGAGTAACAGTTTTCTATCAGTATTTATCGAGTCTGATAATCTATAATTAATGCTAATACACATCTAATATGTTCACTAGACTACTCGATAATAATTGCACCACATTGCCATTTTAAAGAGCAAAAGTTCGTCAATTAACAACAATTATTCGAGACTATCAGAATGTAATTAGAATCATATGTTCTTTCATACTTATATAGTCAATATAAATTCACATTCATCAGACATGCTGCAACAATTGACCGTGTCATAGAAAGTGAACTAGTAGCATCAACCAAAAGAACAGTTTGTTTTTTCATTGATCTTCATAGACAATAGATCATTTTCTATTGATAGAAGTTTTACATATATAGATCTCTTAAAAGAAAACAACTTTTTTGGATGAGTTAACTTTCTCCAAAAATTAATGAATTAGCAGTTGTTTTGCTATAATTTATTATTTGACACACACACACACACTTCACAGCAGGTGGCAAGTATCAGACTCGTATTCGTCATCGTCTCTTGTATCAAGAAACAAAAAGCTATGATGTAAAAAAGTGCGATAATGACTGTTTTTTTAGAAGAAATTCGATCTTTTTGAAAGTCTAACTTATAAGAGATTACTAAGTGGATAGGTCAAGGCTTAAACAAACAATCAATGCCGATGACGAAAGAAGAAATATTTTTATGATGTTAATTCAATACAACTACTATTGTTAAGATTGCATATAGATCGTAATCATTTGAGTGAAAACGTCGATCTATGTCTAAGACATCAATCATATGATTTCGAGAGAAGAAGTCTATTCACATTCACTTTCTGATAACAACTTCTATTCCTGATTGTTTGGTTGATAAAAATACCTCTTGATATTTGTGAGATGTTCTTCTAAAAGAGTTGTATAGTGAAAGACTATTTGTCTTGTTATCATTAGTTTTCTGTTTGACTTGCCTAATTTGTTTTTGTTAATGTCTATATTTTCATTCTGCATCATTTCATTAGGTCGTGATGCTGATTGTACACAATTGCAGAAGATTTCATCATTTTGCATTTAGCACGTCATAACCTTTCTCAGTGTGATGGATCGAACATTTTATTTCAAATTAGCCTTTTTCCTGACATATTGATTAATGAAGACCATTTTCGATTCGGCGCCGCATTGTCTCTGTATATCGTACTGTAATCAATCACTGCTTTTAACACAGAATGTTTTCCAAGGTGTTGTAAAACAATTGGCAGAAGGACAGTTTGATATGGTGGACAAATAGTAATATATCGTATAAAAATGAAGTTATTCTTCTCAATCAATATCAAAATAATGCATTGACCTTTCTATTTTCGTCTTTTTTTCATGTTGTTTAGTTAAACAGATCTCATACAGACATGTATTTTTTTTCTCTACATCGGCATGAATAAACAGTAACAATCGACTAGGATATATATATATCTAAGTCGGAGATGAGGCAAAAGGACGGAAAAGAAACGAGACAGAAAAAGAGATTGGTTGATACTCTTGCTATGAGAAGATATGGACAAAAGATTAATTTCTGTTGAGAACTGATGCGTACATACGTATAGTTAGCGAAACAAACAATATTTTTCTTCTTTTACCCCTCGCCGATGATCAACAAGATTCTCTAGTTCTTCGAGGTGCTGATAGAAAGAAAGAAAGAAAGAACGGCAAAAAAAAAGTAAATCGTATCGGACGTATTGATATTCTCATAAAAAAACGCGCCGACACCGTTGCACGTACGTTTATCGAATGGTGCTGGTACTAACTAATAATTATCGACGACAATCTGGGTTCTCCACAATCGAAAACATCATTACCAATTCATTCTTCAACATATCGCCAGCCAAATCCGACTACAACCATTGGTCTTTCAAATGTGCCACATGATGTTATTGTCTCATCATCTCCAACTCATCCATTACCTACCTCATTTGGATCGTCTATTGATAATCATATAATTAACTTTGAACAACAATTCGATATGAATTACGTTCCACTGAATCGAGGACGAGAGCAATCTCCCTCATCTCCAGGTCCTTTTCATAATTCGAGTACTTTATATATCAATCAACAACGACCTGTGCTACATTTACCTCGGCCGCGATTTAATGTCACTGTCAATGGTCATCTTCAAACCTCTCCGATTCATCATCATCAGCAGCAGCAGCAACATCAACATCATCTTCCGCATAGAACACATGATTTTTCTCGAATTACTATTCGAGCACCGGATATTCGTCCGCCAAGAACTCCAATGCCATTTCATAACGTAGTGTCAACACCACGCGCTAACACTACAGCAGCACCAGCTATAGCTGACGTCCATCGAAAACTAGCTGCATTGACATTACGTTTGGAAAAAGAACTTGAAAGTGAAGCGACAGTCGATGAATATTATGGACAATGTACGAAGTGTGGAGAACCGGTAACAAGTGCATCAGACGCTTGTCAGGCGATGGATGAACTTTATCATAACGATTGTTTCAAATGTGTTGTTTGTTCTCGAACGTTACGTGGAAAAGCATTCTATCGTGTACAAGATCAAGTCTATTGTGAAGAAGATTACCTGGTTAGATTATGCATATAAAATATACGAAAGGAAATACATATTTTCTTATGTTTTAGTTCACGGGATTCCAACAAACAGTAGAAAAATGTTATATTTGCGATCATTTAATCATGGATAAAGTATTATTTCCCCGAAGAATACTTCTATGGTTGATATTTGTCTCTTTCTAGATGCTTCAAGCTTTGGGTAACACTTATCATCCTGGATGTTTTCGTTGTACAGTTTGTAACGAATGTCTCGATGGCCTTCCATTTACTATAAATAAAGAACGACGTTTATTCTGTTTATACGACTATCATAAGTATGTAAACATATATTATCAATTTTCGAAGATATTCATTATTTTATTTCGAAGTACTTATGCTCCACGTTGTGCTAAATGTTCTTTTCCAATCTGTCCGGAAGAAGTGAGCGATTGAACACTGATCTTATTTCATCTGTATTAATTTCGATTAGGGTTCGGATGAATCAATACGTGTTGTTGCAATGAATAAAAACTTTCATGTTGATTGTTATCGCTGCGAGGTAAACGATGACTTGAACCCTAATCATATTTCTTTCGTTCATTTCCAGGATTGTCAATGTAGTTTAAGTAATGAGCAAACAACAGCTGTATTAGGCGGTTGTTGCCCATTAGAAGATGGGACGTTATTATGTTATCGCTGCCGAATACGTCGTGCTGGTACGAGTGATAATTAGATTCTTATTAATCTTTTCTCAAATAACAGATTGATTATTGCCTCATTTTTCATTTATTTAAAAATAATTCATTAAAAAAAAGAGAACAAATAAACTAACTGAAATATACTTCATATTTATGTTGAGTAAAACATTTTCATCGGTATTGTTTTCTTCTCTTTGTGTTTCATTATGTTTATCACGAAGAAGAAATAATAACTTTAAGCATCGAAGCGAAGATAAAAGAACTGGATATTCAATAGAAAAAGAAAAACGAGAACAAGACGATTTTTTGCAGAGAATTTATCTTGAATATCGTTCGCATCGATTAACTGACCACTTTCGTATGAGGCTGATCGATATTGAACGGAGAAAGTAATTCACAGAATTCTTTGTTTTCCATTAGTAATTTAATGAAATCTTTCGAGCGTAATTCAATATGATCGAGATCTTTTCCTTCATTAAACTGTTCCAATGATGCTTGTAATTCCTTCACAATACGCGTCGTATTTTCCGGATCATCTTTCGCGTGAAGTCGCATGACAATCTATTGACCAAATAGCAAAGATCAGTGAATAGAAAGTGTCTGAACATACTTTCACCATCCGATCAATTTCTTTCTTGTTAATTACTCCATTATGATCATGATCGTATGTTCGAAAGACATATTTCAACCTTTCGCGTACACTTCCAGTTGACGTTAAAGCAAAACCGATTAAAAACTCGCGTAGATCTAGATACTTTGAAGAATGTTTTTCTTCGAGTGACAAATTTTTCGTCTTACCGACAATGCCATCGTTATTGGCATCGAATGCTTTGTGAATATCTGTTGCTAATTGATCAATTTGTTCTTCTTTACCACTGTTAATACTTCGTAGAAAACTGACTGTATCTGATTTGGAAATTTTCCCGTTTGGACATGCTGCCTATGGTGATGCACTTTGATGAAAACTGAATTACTTCGCGAAAAAATTTACTTTTAGTTTATCGTACCAAATTGTGACGCTCTCGTGATCGATTTTAGCTCGACTAGAAATAAATTTGATATCCTCTTCGCTTAATTCAGCTAATGATTGTGAAGAACTTCCACCCATATACCCTAGATGTATTAAATCGACAAGGAAATCGAATTAATTTAAAGAAAAAAAATCAATCTAGAAAACAAAATTCTTGTTTAAAAACCCATTGCGATTATTTCTTGATTAGAAAAAATAGATATCACAGATTAGATATTACTCTTCTCTCCAATGTCCTGTCTTCGGGTTATAAAACAGATGCAGTTCTTTTGTGGAATTGCTTAAGGGTAGTTTCACTGTATACTTTGGTTCATTGTAGTGTCCTTGCCAATTCAATTCGATATACACATCCATTCGATCGTTTCGATCAGTGATTCTGATTTTATGAACAATAGGATCTTCACGTTGAATCGCTTTCGAATCGTATTTCGCTACAGTTCCTTGCCGAACGAATATTCGAATTCCTGAAAAAAGCGAATACGAAATATCTTGACTGAGATCGAGACCCGTGACCGAAATTGTCTCGTTCTCGATTTTAATTCGGATTCGTCGATGAAGTTCCCATTCTGGTATCGGAATGTCTAATTTCGCCATTAATCCTCGCATGAGATCATCACAAAGCGCGTGAACATTCTCTGTAGCTAACCGGGTTAGTGGAGTCGACTGTAAATTTCCAATGATCAATTTTCCGCCATGGCGAGCAACTCTTTCCGGAATATCTGCAGCGGGAGTTACTCGTAGAGATGAGCCTAGGGCGAGACAAACATCAGCACGTTCAGCATGTGCAAAACTCGTTTCCAGTTCGTATTCAGGTAAATTCTCGCCAAAATTTATAATCGAATCGTAGAGCGATGAACCACATTTTGTGCATTTTCGATCTGTCACATGATCGTGAACCTTTGCTGCGCTACGCGTACGAAAATCGCGTAAATATTTCGTGTGGCATTTCTTACATGTTTCTAAATTCGAATTTCCATGTAACTCTGCTAATAATGTTGATGGTAAGCCAGATCGTAAGTGAAGACCATCGATATTTTGTGAAACAACAAAATGAAGAAGATTGCGTCGTGCTAATTCAACTAAGGCCATATGAGTTACTGATGGAATGGCTTTTGTTGACGATGTGACACGAGCTTTAGGAGAACGCTTAGCACCGGGATGATCACGAAGTTCCCAAACGCCTGGTCCCGTTGGCAAAATTGTGTTCATGCCCGATCGAAAGTCTGGAATACTACGACGAGAATGAAATGTATGAGAACGAGAGAGAAAATATTTGTATTTACCCAGTAGATGTGGAAATGCCAGCACCTAAAACAGATTAGATCTTTTATAGTTTGTTTTGTAGAAGACATAACAGATTCGCCTGGTTGTTTCTCGTCCTTGAGACAAAGTGCATAGAGCTTCTTCGTCTATGAGATGAATAATCTTATTCCATCTAGCACTCGACTGCTAATCTCGTTCTTTTTCTTTGACAATCTGGCAGAACAATTAACATCTCTTTTTACCTCATATAAATCCGGACAAATCGTCTTAACCGAATGAGTCGAAGTTAAGAATTCTGCACTGATCAAACTGTCTAACCTGTGAACACGATAAAGTGTTTGGCATTTTTTATCCAATCAGCTAGTTGATCGAGTTTCTTCTCCAAAACCTCCGGTGGATCGACGTGTTCTGTCTTCGTCGGATCAGTGTCGGCTATTCCATGTGCCATCGCGTAATTAACTGACTATCTAAAATTGTTTTCACGTTTATATACATATAGTCAAACATGAGCAATGAATAATAACTCAAAATCTCCAAGGAAACGACAAAAAGAAAAACAGAAGAAACGCGTCAGTTATTTATAAGATAAACAGAAAACAAACATGAATGAATTTCACAATGAAATCTCAATCAAACAAACAAGAACAGAAAAATTGTTTATTTAAAAGGGAACCAATGAGACAGAGAGAGAAAACATGAATATATCAATCTGTTACAAAGAGAACAGATCATTTAGAAAATAGTAATATGGACAAGAACAGTAACATGAATGCTAATGTCTACAAAGTCGAAATCACATCAATGCATGTAGCCACGCTATAAGGTTAAACAAACAAGAATGAGGAGAATATTGCGAACGGACAAGAGAAGGAAAGTTGCCTTTCTGTACATGTCTCTTTTATTCAAAGAATGATTTGTTTATCGAGAGTTTCGAATAAATACGAACGATAAAGATATGTATACGTTTGAGTATTAAATTAAAAAACACGAACGAAACTATTTGTGTTGGTTTTGTTAAAATAAATTAAATGCAAAACAGACAAAACACATCGAAATACGAATCGATTTGAAATTGATTATACATGTTTTTATATTACGGATGTGTTGCTTCAATATTCATCGATGTTAAGGAGAGAGTATTACTGTTGAGAGGTGAATTCGTTGACATGGTCGATGAAGACGAGGAAGCAGTGGCTACATTATTTGGCAATTGATGATTGATTGAATTGAATAAATCATCGAGTAGTTGTAAAGCACGATGAATTTGAATTTCGACCCAACACGGCGTTTCTTTTATCGATTGTCTAAATGAATATGAGAGGCATTTAACGAAATTAACGGTAAAGAAAATGCGATTTACCTTGGATAATCCGGTCCCCATCCTTTAACAAAACTAAGTCTTAACACACATAGACGTCGCATATCATCAACACTTAAATTTGCTGAGGGTGGCATCGTTTGAGCAAGAGATGATTGTTGCATTCGAGAATGCAGAGCCATTTTCACATATTGATCCATTTGTGTGAAGCATTGTTGTAAATCAAAAACCTAAACAGAATAGTGTTTTATGACGAGGAAAATTTCCCCTGTGGGATCAATTGGCATACTTTAATACACGCTTGAGGGTATATTTTATGAACAGCATCACCCGGTGCACGACCAGCTTCTCGGTCGAGATAATACGATTGAAGAAAAACAGCTTGATCACTTCGACATCGGATCCATATGTCACCTTCATTTCGGCATTCGATACGAATACCTTTTCCAATATGAAGTCGTGCTTTTTCGCTCGTTTCCGTACGGTGAACATTACTTAATGGTCCTAGACAAAATCGACCACCTACATTAGCCATATCCATACCACCATCGACAGTGACTTCTTTGAATGTATCAGGCACTTTGAATGTTTCACCAACTTGCACATCGCGTTCGTAATAAGCAATGCTACACCAATATTCTCCAACGTAGTTGATTAAGGTCAATGGTTGAAGAGATGGTGTAGTTAGACTATTGGTTGGGACAAATGAATGTTGTTGCCCTGAAATAAAACAAGATTGTTTCGAATTTAGATGAATAGATGACACTTCTTACATAAATTAACCGCAGGTGGTGTTGGTTGGGTCCACAGTGGAACAGATCCATCTGAAAATGAAAGAAAAACATGAGTATACACTCGAAGAATTGTTCAAAGGATGATGAAATGCTTTACCTTGCGGAATTCTTGTTGGTGGAAAACCATTGGTGTTGGAAACAGCAGATCCATTCGTTGGGTAAGGATGTGGTGGACTTGCACTAGTAGTATCAGGAGCTTGATGTTGCATTGGCATCATTGGTTGAGGAGAATTTTGATCATCTCGATAATCTACAAAAGAAGATAAACTTTCAGGAATCCATCCAGAATACCGTTTCTTCTCTATACCTTTCATATACCGATATCCTTCTGCTGTAGGATATATATCACGATCATTCGATGATGATGGATCACCATGGCCAGACATTTGAAAACGAGGCACTAGTGGCATTCCGGCTAAATCTGTCGAGTAGAAAAGGTTAGAAAGTTTCGTATTCGATAGAAAAAGTAGCAAATAGTTCTTACCAATTCCAGGAGGAACAACTCGTTCGTAGTGATATGGATTTACTACAAAAATCAAACTGATCAGATTGAATGGATAGATGTTGCAAACTTACCACAGACATGTTCTTGTTTAAGATCGAACGCTAGTGGACAAATTTTCAAATGTTTTAATTCGTTTTTATGTAGGTCAGGCCAACGCCATATGCGTGCATAAATAACATGTGGAAAGCCTTTCCGACCGGCAACCTGGAGAGAAGAATAAAGAAAAACATTGTCGCGTTTTATGTAAAAAGATAGTCTTTAATGCGACAGACCTGCAATCGTCCGTCGAGCGTTCTTTGGATTGTCACACATTTCGTAGGAATTTGTCCACTGGAAGTAATCGAGGTGACCAAAGCATCGAGTTCATCTTTCTTATCTTTCAATTTTTTGACCAAACTAAAAAACGAAGAATGAAGATTCGCTTCCTTTTCAAATGTTTCTTTCACCTTTCAATCGCTCTTTTGGAAAATGTTTCACTTTCACCATTTGTTCGTTGCCGATGACATAAAAGATTGGCAACTATTCCATTACAGGCCTCTGACGACGCTCCGCTGCCGCCATTTGATGATGAAGCTCCATTTGATGGCGGACTGTGTGAGTGTAGCGGAGGTGAACCTGACATCATTCTTCCAGAAGATGACGATGCACCGCTGATTGATAAAGATGGATGACTCAGAAAGTCCACTTTGTTATAAGTAAATCAACGTTGAAATGACAAATTTGGCGTGCGTATCAAATACGATTCGAATTCGATAAGTATTCGTTTTTTTCGTTTCTACATTAACGATTCGGCCGATAGGCGGAGTAATAAACAGAATATAATAAATATCGATCGACACCATATGACATGTCCTTTGACCTTTATTGCCTTCTTTTCGTTTTGATTGTAGTGACCTCTATTTTCATTGGCCTTTAGTTCTCTTCGTACTGGATCTTTCGTCTATTTGGATAGATTATCTATTTTTTTCTGATCGTCGACAAAGAAAAAGAAGCATTAGGAAAAAAAACATGCTCGTGTAAACAAACAGTCGACCAGCGTTGTGTTGACAACCGATTCATACAATTAAAATGTTATTTCTCATATCATTTCATTCGATATTTTCAGATCAGTATACATTCAATTGATTTTTCGATCCAATGGCACAAGGAACTTTATCACTCGGTGGCGAACGTATTACAGGTAAGAAGAAACCTTCTCAGAGACGCATTTTAACTTGTATGAATTTTGTTTCTAGGCGATTCAGTTCGTACTCAAAATGGTTCGTAGTTTTTTTTTTATCATAGAAATCTGTGTAATGACTTGTTTTCTCAATAGTCTTGGCAGCTATGGCCATTGCCAACATTGTCCGAACATCATTAGGTCCACTTGGTCTTGACAAAATGATGGTTGACGACATCGGAGTAAGTATCTGCTTTTCGCGAAATTGAGTCGAAAAAAATCCATTGAAATTGCGCGTAGGATGTTACAATTACAAACGATGGTGCCACAATTCTCAAACTACTTGAGGTTGAACATCCTGCTGCGAAGGTTTTAGTTGAATTAGCTCAACTACAAGATCAAGAAGTGGGCGATGGAACAACCAGTGTCGTAAGTTTGGTTTTCTGCCCAAAAGCTCGACTTTGTTTTTCTCTTGCAAAGGTTATCATTGCTGCAGAACTGTTGAAGAATGCTGATCAACTTGTAAAACAAAAAATCCATCCAACATCGGTGATTAGTGGTTATAAACTGGCTTGCAAGTAAAAATCGTGATACCTCTCGATATTTTCGTTGCGAATTAACCGGAATTGTTTTCAGATTAGCGGTTAAATACATTCAAGACAAAATGGTGATCAATGTTGATGAATTAGGCGCTGAATGTTTATTGAATGCCGCTAAAACATCCATGGCTAGTAAGGTTATCGGAATGTAAGTTGAATTTCTCGTCCGATTATAGAAGACGCGTTCGATTCTCTTAGGGATGCCGATTTCTTCGCGAAAATGTGTGTTGACGCTGCGAATCTGGTTAAATTCAATGAAAAAGACAAAGTTGTTGTACCAATCAAAGCGATCAATGTGCTCAAAGCACACGGTCGATCAACACGAGAAAGTATTTTAATATCAGGCTATGCATTGAATTGCACGGTGGCATCACAATTAATGACAAAGAAGATCAGCAATGCTAAAATCGCTTGTTTGGACTTTAGTTTACAAAAAGTTCGAATGAAATTAGGCGTACAGATTGTTGTCGAAGATCCCGAGAAACTTGAAGCAATTCGTAGACGGTAAGAAATGAGAAAAAAAACGTGCCTTCGGAATGTATGCATCGTGTGTTTTGTTTTTAGAGAAACTGATATCGCCAAAGAACGTGTCGCTAAATTACTCAATGCTGGAGCCAATGTTATTCTAACAACTGGTGGTATTGATGACCTTTGCTTGAAACAATTCGTCGAAGCAGGTGCCATGGCCGTTCGTCGTTGTAAAAAAGCTGATTTAAAACGTATCGCCAAAGCTACAGGAGGTAAAACAAACTTTTCAATGTAAATTCACTCATATTGGAACAATGTTTCCTTTAGCAACATTGTTAACTGCTCTGGCCAACATGGAAGGTGAAGAATCAGTTGATGCATCTGTCATTGGTAGTGCCGATGAAGTTGTTCAAGAACGCATTTGTGATGACGAACTCGTTCTTATTCGTGGACCAAAAGCACGTACAGCTGCATCGATAATCATTCG